ACTTACCAACATTCATTGTTTTGTTATGTTTGTGACTCGTCGACCGTCAAATTAATGGAAAAATGATTATAGTTATTTAATAGAATTCCTGAGTGAGCTATATACCGCCTATTAAATTGCGTTTTCCTAGTTCCGACGCATATTCAACCAACTTCGTCAACACGGGTCTTTCGAAATTTTAATTGAGTTTGAGTACGATTGGTATTTTCCTTCATCAAAATTAAATTTAAATAATTATTATTCATCAGTAATAAACTAATAACTAGGGAACGGATTTGTATGTAAATGCATATTTTTATTAAAACGAGATATTTAAGATTCGATAAATGTTCGTGATTTAAATCATTCCTATTAAAATGATGATACGTAAAAATATGTGAAATAAAATTTTTACATATTCTTATAAATTTTTGTATAATTAAATATTTTACATATTTCACTAATTTGTAAATATTTTTAAACATATTTTATCATTTCATCATTCATACGTTTTTTTCTTACAAAAATATAAGAATTATTTTCAAAATTAGATCCAGAAACTTCCATCGCTATTGGAAAAGCTTAAAATATTATGCAAAATGAAACATTGAAAAATAATTTAATTTTAATTTTAGTGAATTTTAGTTTTAATGCACGTACAATTACAAAATTAGATGCAAAAAATATCTCCTTAAATGATAGTATGCAAATTGTCAAATCAACGATTGAAAAATTAAAACCCGTAAGCGGACCAATAGGAGATATTGTAAAAAATAAAAAAAATTATCTTGTTTTTCTATGTAGATAAAAAAGAATTTATCTTTTATTTTTTATTTAGATTCAGCAAGAACATCTATAACTTTATTATTATAATTAGAAATATTCATAATTCAGGTTTTTTTCGATTTGTATTATTCCGTGGTATTGCGTAAAAATATTTTTATTCTTTTTAATATTGAACAACACATTTCAGATTCCGCTATAAACATAAGTTTTGTTATTATTATTTTTTTATAGTTTCACACACTCAGCGAATGTATGAGTAGGGTTTTCAGATTTTAAGAACGCTGGTAATGAAACAGTTCCAAATTTGATTTAAATTATTTGTACATCAGTTTTCAGTTTTTTGTCGTCAAAATATGGATACACATTTGTTGTTTGATAAAAATATTCTTCGATGAAATGTTTAAAATATATTTCAAAGTTTTCAACCAAAAATAAATTTGATGCTATAAGATAACCAGTAAAATCGAATCGTTGTTATGTTTAAGATATAATGACGTCACACACTTCTTTGGCTTCTCATATAAGTTCATCTTTTTTCTTTATTTGGTTTCGCTTATTAAAATTGTGTACAATATTTATTTTTGATAAATAGTTAGCATACACTTTAATAATTTATTCTGAATAGTTTTAGGCATGATACCTTTAAAAACTGTTGCATTTTCAAAATTAATTTTTAACGCATAATCTAATTCCGCACTAAAACTTATAAAGCCTTGAACAATTCCTGGATTGAGAGATGTTTCATTTTCATCGTGGACTCTAAATGCTAACTCAAAAGCGCTACAAAAACGAATAAAATAATGACATTCAAAATATATCTATCAATGAAAAAGTTTCCAATAATATATTATACTAACTTTTTATAGTGTAGCTTATTTTTTAATTTAATTTTAAACTTAGTTAATATGGTTTACACGTGCATTTACTTAATTGGAAAAAATATTACTTACTAGACCAAGGTTGAAAAAACACTAAGTATATAAAAAATCTGCTCTAAAAGTTGTGATATTATTTTATAGGTAAGTATATGAATTATAGAATATAATGTATAAAATATATAATGTAAATATAATATAAATACATATTTATGTCAAAATGTTCTGCTTATGAATGAACTTAACTCAGCGAATTTAGAACTTTTGATAAGTATTACCCTATTTGCATAATAGCAATCCATATAATATGTACGCAATATAGAATGGAATGGCTAAAATAATTATAATTTTTACTCGAGTCACCAAGCTAAGGTCAATCATTAGCAGAAGATTTTAACATTAACTATAACTTTGTTCCGATAAGACTTAGCTATAAAATTATATCACAACTTTTAAAGCAGGTTTTTTGTCATACAAATAATAGGCGGTTTTTTACTTACATTTGGAGAAGTATTTTTGCTATGGTATATTATATGCTTACAGTAAAGTAAGTAATGTAAAAAATTCAGTAAAGACCTAGTCAACAAATAACAACACCTAATATTCACCGCACCTGAAACACGTATATTGTACTCGTATTAATACGTGTGGTGAATGTAAAGTTGCTTATGGTAGTGTTTCTCAAAATTTTTTGTCATGAGATCTAAATTTAATATAAAACTGCAAATCATTAATTATTTTTTTCTTAATTATATATTAAAATTACATGTAGGTACAATTTTACATAAGTAAATTATTAAAATGTATGATAAATTAATGTTTTTTTTAATATAAGTAATTTTGAAAAACTATATAATAGTATTAAATATAAAACATATATAAATACAAATAAACTAAGAACTTAGAAAACGGTTAACATAAAATAAATATTTCACAAAGGAATACAACTCTCGCTGACTAGGTGGTGTTGTCCCATATATATATATAACAGATATACCGAATCATTGTTTCCTGGAAAAGTTGGAAACGTGTACGATACAATTTGTGTATTGAGTGTAACAAATTAGAACTAGTTAAAACGTCGAAAAACAATTCGTCGTCTTTAGAGTGGGAAATGAGTAAGTCAAAATAAATAAAATGCGAGAAAAAGTAAACAATTATCTTAGGGGAAATTCGCAAACTGAAAACACAATTGATTACACTTCTAACCGTGTTCGTTAAGGCGCTCTAAGTTTACACCGTCGCAGAAACAGAGCCGGTGTAAGCAAATATTGATGCAGGACGGATTATAAATGTACAAATTTTTCGATCACTTTCTAAAACAAAATACTACAATACTAATTTCAATTGGTTAGTTGATGAATGCTGATCGTATAAATAAGTCTTTCATAGGTGGGTGGGAGAATTTTTTATCCCACCTCTACCCCTAATGCCACTGCTCAGGTACGCCGAAAGTAACCTATACACATCAACCATGTCGAACTTGTATGTTAACATGGGTAAACACGGACCGGTAGTAGCGTGTACGTATTATGCGAAAACATGCGTTTCAAAACGTAAACGTATATTAAATCGATGTAGGTATTATGTTCACACGTAAACAAGCGTCGAATCAAGTAGTGAACCAGGAAACTGGCGGATACACGTGCTGCGATAAATAAATAGGCCAATAACCTTGGATCGTGTTCACTGGATAGAGGTGTATCACACGTGGTCGGTGCTTGAAGCACGGCAAATCGTCGTTTTGAGCCCGGTAAGTCTCAATTACGCAGGGTGAATTTCAATTCTCACACACGATGTTTAGCAAATAAAAATCATTCACTGGTATGTTATTTATGGTAATTATTTGCTCAATATCATCATTGGTATTTATAAAGAGGAACCAAGTGTTAAGGAAGCTCATATATTTCTAAAGAGTAAATGAAATACTTGCACATAAGACAACTGAATTTCTTGAACTTTTAAACCCCAAATAATTAGTTTGATTATGACCCCAAGTCGTACATTACGGACCATTATTAGCAAAATAACACCCGTCGTGAAAAAAATACTAGATCCACCACTGAACATTGGTGCAGGGCCGGATTGACCCATCCAGATACCGGGAAACTTCCCAGTTTAACTAATTAATGCTCAAATTTAAAAATCTCAGAGTGATTTCTAATTTGGTTTTACCTGCTATTGACTCACGTAAAAATGTAGTTTTTTTTATTAACATGTTTTTTCATTTTATTTAAAATGTAGTTAAAATTTCCTTCACTCCTTCAACTTGTGAGATATCATCGTCTGTACTTAAATGTATTAAGAAAAATTTAACTTATATTTAGAACATTTTATACTAATGGCAGTAAAAAAGGAATTTTAAACTATATTGAAGAGTTATAAATGAAAAGTTTGAACTTATATATAACTGTACATATATAGTATAAATTATATACAATAAAGAATTCTCATAATAAATTGTTTTATTATATTATTTATGTACACATTTTATTTTAATCAATATAAGTCAGTAAATAAAATCATAATTTTTTCAATTTTTCATGGTTATATTCATAGGCAGATATCAGGGGGCAGGGGCTTAGACCCCCCCCCAAAAATTGAAACATTGTTAGGAATGTTATTAGTTATTTTTATAATTATCTGTTCATTTTTGAAAATCGTAAAATAAGAAATAATAAAAAACTATTTACAATAGCATTAAAAATACCAATTACATAGTTTGGTTACTTGCAAAAGAAGTTTCAGTGCAATGAAAAAATAAAAACTTGGCTAAGGACATCGTTTGTTCAAAATAGGTTCAGCAATCTTTCAATACTATAAATTAAAAATGTCCGCCTATAGTTATATGATTTATATGCCCCCCTCCCTCATTTAACCACCACCGGTTAAATCACATATTGCCTTAAAAAACCATAGTTAATAATTGTTTCATTATATAATATTAGATATTATAATATAGAGCTCCGATTTAAATAATTTTTCAGAGTATCACAATTCCTTCCTGCATACATGGCATTCATAAATTATTTAAGTTAATTTGAAGGCTTATCTCAAAAATATTAGTTTGTAGTAAAATTTGGCTGTCACTTATTGGTGATTATTGTTAAATAACAATATTATAATTAATAATACAATGCAATATATAGAAAAAAATCAATAATTTATATTCTTGAGAATGATTATTATGATTATGATTATGATTATTTAACATAAACTATCAACATTTGTTTCAATTATCAAATAATATTGTCTTCTGGATTCTTCGGTGAATAGTAATGTAATACTTTACATTACTAATTAATAAATATTAAATTATTAAAATAGAAATTTAATAAGATCCCGAAATAAAAATAATAATTATGTTATAATTTTATGTATTGAATAATTTAAATCAAACTATAGATTTTCTACTTTTTTTTTTAGCAGAACTTTCGCTGAACTTATAAAACGGATTAATACGGTTTACATCTGGAGTTAATTTTAATACACTTTGCACCGGCTGTTTAGAAGCATTGTGTGGATTTTCTGGTTTTGTCACCAAAGTTGTCTCATACTCCACAAATTCTGAAACAAAAGTAAGATTTATTTTAAATATGTCTTAAAATATTTTGATTAAAACAAAAAAGTAAATATAAACCTTGCGCAACATTATTCTTTAACTGAAATTCAACTCTTTTTTTTGCGGAGTCAGTTTTAATTGACAGCCTAGAGCTTTTTCTCGGCGAGTCAAACCCATCCTCAAAAACCTCACTTCGCTGAAATAAACAAAATATAAAAAAATCAATTTCATTTAAAACTAATATAAAAATATTTAATTTAATTTTTCTCAACTTACCACTTTTTCAAGAGCTTTATTAGAAATTTCTTCAGGTCGCAACATACTTATTTCTTCTCCAGCAATAGTCTTCCTACGCTTCAACAATTCTTTTTTTTCCAAATTGCTTTTGGCGGCTTTTCTTTTTGGCGTTCCCTCATTTGGTGTATCAGGTTTTTTCTTGGGAATTATTATTGTTCGTCGCCTCAAAACTCTTTGTTCTGGGGTTGGACTCTTGGGACTTTTAGGACTCTTAATATTTTTATCAGGCGTTGTTGCAGGAGATGAAGAAATAAGTTTCTCATTTTTACCAACATTTTTATTTTTATTTGACGCAGATCCTTCATTATCAACAGAGACTGACCAACTGCTGTTAAGACTTGTGTTTATAGCATTGGGTGATTTAATAGAAATATTAGATGAAACATTTTTACCAGGAGATTTGACATTTTGAATATTATTCTTGGCAAATGTAATGGATTCATTAAAGGCCTTCAACTTTGGACTCTGTTTATTTGAAGTCAACTTATCATCACTACATACACTCCAACTTTCATTTAAACTTGAATCATCATTGATTTCACCAGAATGTCGTTTAATTTTTTTCAAAAATATATCACTAGGACTACAATTACCAGTTTTTGGACTTTTAGACTGTGTGACTTTGTTACTTTTGATTTCATTAGAACCAGGACTTTGGATTACAGGATTATTACTTTTTTCAGTGCTTAAATTAGCTTTAGATTTTTTTTTATTACTTGATGCTTGTGAATTTGGAGTATTAATTTTGTTGGTGACATTACTAGAAATGTTTGTAATAGTTGTATCTGGTTCATCTAAAGAAATAGTAGTATGTTTCTCTTCTACAGCAGATTTATTCATATTTTGTGTTTTCTTTGATGCAGACCCATCATTATTGATAGATACAGACCAACTATTATTTAGACTAGTGTTTAAACTATTATTTAGTTTAATATTGAGTGAATTATTATTGTTTGGTCCGTCAGCAAATTTAGACTTTGTATTCTTACGTTTATTTGAATTACTGTCTTTTTTAGACGAATCAGTTGTTAAAGCTTTTAAACTTGGTGTAGAAGTGTCGTTCTGAATTTTAGTTGGTGTTTTATCATTTGTTTCTTCTACATTGAATCCTATAGGCACTAAAAGAGGAACTTCATCATTATTCACATCAAGAGACTTATTTTCTTCATTATTTTTGGTTTCTTCTGATACAGTCCAAGATCCATTTAAACTGAAATTTTCTTTAAGTGCATCACTTTCTTCAAACTTCCTTACTTTCCATACAGATTTACCAATTTTTCCATGTTCAACAATGAGTTCACCCAATTTATTCAGTTCTTTCATACTTTTATGGTTATCAATAACTTCACGGCTACTTTTTTTAATCTTAGAATCAATCATTTCTAATTTTTTAACACCTTCTTTGACCATTTTAGATAAGTGTTTTTTCTTTTTTCGTTTTAATACTTGACTTTTTAATTTCAAGTCTTTTGGCTTATAAGGCAATATTCCATCACCCAAACGATTGTACCATTTCAATAATTTACTTATTTCCATCAAACATTTCCTTGTACAGTCAACTTCAGTAACATATTTATTCAAAAGTTTTGCTACATCTTTAGGATTAAACCTTATACGAGGTATTTCAACATTCACATTACCAGCTCGAGGATCCAATGGACCATTGTATTTTTCATTAGAATCATCATCAGCAATATCACCTTCAACCAATTCTAAGTCATTATATGAGTTTCCTGGTTTACCCATCTGTAAAAAAGATTAATATTAATTAAATATAAAATAAAATTAAATAAGCAAAAGAAACATTTTTAATTACTTACTTTTTTCCAAGCTTCAAATTTAGCTTCTAACATTTCTAAATCTGGTGACTGTGATAGAAGATTTCTAAACACATTTTGTATGACTTCTTTGATCAACAAAAAATCATTCAGTTCAGAAATATAACGTAAAAATGCATCTAAAATTATCATCAATGCTTCTGAAGGTACTTTTCCTTTACTTACCTGAAAATGATAAACATAAATTTAGTATTGTGTAAATAATAAAATGTACCAAATCAAATAAAATACTAACTTTAGCAAGTTCTTCCAAAAAAATTTCTTGTAAATGGTTTCTTAAACTTAGTGTAAAAGATTTAAGTGCTCTATATAGAACTTCACTGAATTTGTTCAAATAATCCAAATCCCAATCACAATCAACAAAAGTTTGTAGTACTTGTCTCAAACAACGCCTCACTAACATCATAAATTTATCAATACGATGTTGGCTAATTGACATCCAATCGTCTTTAATGGTAAGGAAAAATGCTTCCAAAAACAATACTTTTCCTTCATGAGATGTGCAACTATGAAAAAGATTACTTATTTTTTCAGTAGCATTTTCCTGAAATAATAATACATACATTTAACAGTATAATATGTGATAATAACTAAGATACATTATTCTATAAAAATTAATAAGTTTCAGTATATATATATATATATATACATTTAAAAAAAAGGGTTATTTTACATGAGTATTGAAAATTGTATGTAAGGCTAACACAAAATTATTTAACTTAGTGTTGAGCATTTACATGACATGATTTACTCCATTTTCTTCTTATACATAAATATCAAAAATTTAAATACACCAAGAATAATAATTTTTACAAACTATGAAAATTATTTTATATATTTATATGTCATGATCTAATTACATTATCATATACTCAGACTGGTTTATTGAATGTGATGATTTATTATAGCTTTAAATGTTTTATTAATCAATATAACCAACACAACAAAACCAGTATATTATTGATTTATTTTTAATAAGTTCAAATCTAATTGTTCTATTATTTTGTTTTCCAAATTAATTTATTAAAAATGTTATTTATCTTTAATTTTTCAATTTATCATCAATTTATTTATTTTATTTTAAATACTAAAGAACATAGTTATAAAAATATTTATCCAATATTATTACATTGTTTATAATGTCATCTAATATTGAATAAAATCAACTACAGACAACATAATATATGTCAACTAACATTTACTGTTTCAATTTTTTAAAGATAACAGTTAAAAATACTTTGTTGTTAATTTAAATTGTTGTTATACAATATCATTTTAATAAGGTAAAAAAAAAATTATATGGGACACCAAAACATTTACATAATATTACATACTTGGTTATTAAATTATATTTTAATAATTGTATGGATTATAATATAAAAAACATGCAAATTAAGATTAATAAAATTATAAATAATTATTTACTTGAGGCAATGGTTTATCAGACATCCACATGAAGTAAAACAATCCTCTCCATATTATCATATAATCACTCAACTCAAATGCTGGAAAGTAAAACAATATTAGTACTTAATACTGATATATTGACTAATCAGTCACAAAATTCAGTAGTTTTATGATCAACTTTATTAATAATTATAGTTTTATTGAGCTTAACAGTTTAATACTTAAAGCTATAGTAGAACTCAAGTTAAAACTGTAATGGAAATAGAAATATATTAATAATATACTAATATTAATATTTAATGAAACATTATTGACTAATTGAGTTTCAAATTTATTAACTTTGTATATATCTGATAATTTTTTTTTTTTCATTTGAAACCTGTTGTACTTTAAAAATTTAATAATACTCCAGGCTAAGCTTTTATTTATTTATTTACTTATTTCTATATATATATATATATATATAAACTATTTGTTTATTAATTTATATATTAATTTATTAATTTATTTATATACGGATTGCCATAACTATAAAGGCATAGTCCTCTTGAACACAGTGTATAAGGTTTTCTCTAAAATACTGCTTACCCGTCTTACACCTTACTCTGAGGAATGTTTGAGAGAGTACCAATGCGAGTTCCAGAAAGACAAGTGAACAATCGAACAACTAGCTACCATAGGACAGATAATCGAAAAAAGTATAAATACTGCCAAATTTTGTGGCAGGTATTCGTTCACTTTAAAAAGGCATACGACAGTGTACACAGGGATAGCCTATACAATATAATGAACGATTTTGGTTTCCTGGAAAAATTAATAAGTTAACTAAAATGTGTATGGAGAAGGCAAAATACCGGGTGAAAGTAGATAACGGGATTTTGTCACCATTTATAGTAGATACGGGGCTGAAGCAAGACGATTCGTTATCTCCACTACTGTTTAACCTAGCTTTGGAGAAAGTGGTTAGAGAACTTCAAGGTAAACCTAAATAAAATACAGGTGCTAGGTTTTGTGGATGATCTGAATATTCTGGGCGAATCCTTAACAGACGTAGCAAACGCAACCAAAATCTTGAGTAGTGAAGCAAAGAAAATAGGTTTACACATTAGTGAGGATAAAACTAAAATAATGGAATTGCTAGAAAGTGATGAAGACCCCAGAGTTACGGAAGATTTAATGTATGAAAAAGTTGAAGACTTTAAGTATCTGAGTGCGATCTTGAGTACGAAAAATGACTGGGCCAAGGGAATAGGTATTCGTATAAGTAAAGCAGAAAAAACATTTTTTGCATTGACAAAATTGTTTAGGTCCAAATGCCTCTCTAGAAAAACCAAAGTTAGGCTGTACACAGTGATAGTTAGACCAACCCTCACATATGGTTGTGAAGCATGGACAAAAACTAAGCAAATTGAAAAAAGGCTGAGAACGTTTGAAAACAAAATTTGGAGAAGAATTTGCAGTCCCATCTATGATAAATCAACAGGTAGTTGGAGAAGAAGGTATAACAATGAACTACTCGACATGGTTAATATACCACTAGTAACCAGTTTCATCAAAGGGCAAAGAATACAGTGGCTTGGATACATCATGAGAAGGGGGAAGCGATACTGCTAAACTAGCACTAGAATGGAAACCACACGGAAAGAAACCCCGGAAATGATGGATCGATGTTGTCGAAGAAGATCTAAAAAATATGAAAATATACGCATGGAGGTAAATGGTGATAGGGATGGGTGACGCGAGGTTGTATTGGCGGCTAAGACTCTTAGAGAGTTGTAAAAGCCAGAAGAAGAAGAATTTATATGTTACAATTAAAATATTATATTCATGTCGTATGCGGTCTACCACACACTTGTCGTCAGCCACGTATGTTTCTACACGTCATATGTGGTCTACTGTCGTCCATCTATATATAAATTTGAGATCATTCCCGTTGATCCGACGGCTATTAAGCTTTATCTTAAAGATTTATAATCTTAATGGACTCAATGTCGACTCAGCAATATAGGTTAATCTAATACAGCAATAATCTCGTCTGTAATCGTAAATGTAAGAGAGAATTAGTTACAGTTCAGTTTGTGCCGTGATACATTATTTTGCAATTCTGCATTCTTTGCATTTAAGCATTATGTTTTACATTTATGTATTCATATATATTTTTAACTATGTGGTAGACGACAAATGTGTAGTAGACCGCATATGACGTGTACAAACAGGCGATAGACCGCATACAATATGAATACCTAAAATATTAATGCCTTATTAATGCTGTAAATTTAATATGATTGAGATATTTTGTACAGAAAATAATGTATTTACTACGCACAGTATTAATTAAGTAGATCTAAACTTATTTTATCCGAGAAACTTTAATCAAAACTGAAATACAAATTAATAATTTACATAGTTATCAATAATATTTTAAATGAATATTACAAAAAAATAAATGAACCAATAGCCTATAAAATAAAAGAAATATTTATATACTATGTAAGATCATTAATTGTAGTTAATAATACCTAGATATATTATAATCCAATTAATATTATAAATATTTTAAGTTATTTAGGAATAATTTTTATACATTTTCTGATATATAACTCATTACTAATAATACATCAGTACACTATTGTAGACGTATCTTGTAAACATACATATAAATAGGAACATATTATTGATATAAATAAATCTAAAATGAATACATATAAGAAGTACAGTAAAATGTTCATAGTCACTTAATTGATCATAACAGTTTTTATTCAACTCAATGAGCCAATAGATGTTTTATTAACAAAGCAAGGAGAATGAAGATAATTTATTATAAGATGTGAAAACGGAACGCACCACCACTCGTGTTTCCAGAATGTGCCAGCAACAGTTTCTTAATTTTTTTGATACCATCACTTCTTATTTTGGGATCATTAGATGCCAGCAACTTCGTTAATTCTATCTCCTTTGCCACCAAGTCCACTTTACCTTCTGCGACTTCGGTAGCCATATCGCGGATGATAAAATTCACGTTTAAAACAACTGAAAATAAAAACTGTGATTAATTATAACTAAAATTAACCAATTTAAATTGTATAATATAAATTAAAACATGATTAACTGTACGTTGAACAAGTAAAACACGTGAGTTACAGGGATAAAGCCATGATTACGTTATCACAATGATGTGGACCGTTATAAATGACCATGTTAGTGGTATACGAATTTTTTTGTGGTCAGACCATAGAATCAGCAAGGAGTATAGTGTCCTATGGAATTGGCATTCTGGAACAATATTGGTCACATATTTTATTTCGAAGAGGGAGTGAGAAAGAAAAGAAAACAGAATTATCAATCACAAACTAGTAAATAAACAATTAAAACAATATTGATAAGACAAAATGGATTTTGTGGTTTTTGACGAACTATAATATTGTTATCTGTTTATTTTGAAAATTTTGTCGGACAACTTTAACGACCCGTCATTATTCCGTAAACGCGTAGTGAAAGTTTCCTTAAAATGAAACACAGATTCGATTTAGACTTAAATGCACTATGTAGACTATGTCTTAATAAAGGACCTGAACTTCGTCCAATCTTTGATTTCGATGTAAATTTCTCGTACCTTATCGAATCATGTGTGGGACTAGAAGTAAGTAAATATATAGTTAACCGTGCTTCTTTCTGTACCACAATTTTTATTGATTTTACTCTTACCATCTCAGATACACCAGTATGATCCGGGTCCAACCCAAATATGCATCGACTGTTTGACTAATTTGGAAAATTGGGAAGGATTTAAACAAAAATGTATCTCTGCAAATGAAAGCATTCAAGAATACCTCAAGCAATTAGAAGAGGATACATTCATTGAAACTGTAAACAAAATTGAAAAGTTTGACAGTCAACTAGAACCTGAGGAACACAATGATAATTATGACAGTACGTTCAATAATGAATCAAACAGTCAAGATTCTGATAATGATTCTTTAAAGTCTAAGTCGCCAATTTCAATAACAGTAATGTAATTGATTTAGGGTATTGTTTCATAATTCTTATATCTGTATTATTTTTCAGGCTCATGAAGTGTACCCAAGATTAGTTAAAAGGGATGGAAAAGTTTCAGATGTGACCAACATAACTATAAACAGGAAAAAACGTTATGAATGCGCGTTATGTCCTTTTATAAATTTTACCCAAAAAGAATCATTGTATGATCATCTAATTGATAGCCATAGTTTAGAAGAAAATAACACTCCACATTATTGTCTAATATGCAATAAAGGATATTGTAGTTTTAAAATATACCAAGAGCATTTGACTGCCGAACAAGAACTACACGGCAGTATTCAAATTCAGGTATATACATTTTGTTTTCTCCTTTAAAATATCAGTACCCTTATCAAAAGAGAGAAAGAGACCAACTGTCCGAGTGAATAATGAAGTTGTAACCTTGAAAACGTTTAAAAGCCAGTTTGCAAAATGTTTTACAGGATAAAATCAAAGATTGCACTTTTGGCTGCGGCTTGTGTAGCTGTAAATTCGGCCGGTCAACCAGTCTTTACCGGCACCTCAGGAACCATGCTTTGAAAAAAGATCTCATGCCATATGTTTGTTCGTTCTGTCAAGTAGGATTTCTGGACAAGCACAGTCTTTACCTGCACGCGTCGACCGATCATCACGCCGCGTCCGTTGCCGTCAACGAACCGGACGAGGTAAATTAAATGGCACGGAGTAAATTGACAGACACACGTGTCGTATGCTATCTACCAAGAAAATCATATCTACAAAAATCCACGCATACGTATCAATGCCTGTTGGTTCACAGTTCTCCTATTTTAAATAGCCTGTTTGTAAGCAGTTGTACATATTTTTTTATTTCTTTTTGAAAATGTTTTTTATTTAAATCTTATAAAAAACATTCAAAAACATTTTTTTGATTAACGGATCTCCACGATTTCATCGATGTTTAAACTGTTCGACGACAACGTCTCAACATAAATTATACCAATCTGAGACTGTGTGATGTCCTCTATCAGTAATTTTTTCTGTTTGTATATTTTTAAATTGATTCGTCCAGTACTAAACAAGTTCCAATATTTCGCATAACAAACTTAAACCACTGTTATTTTTTACCCATTTTTGTCGGTGTAAGTAAAAAATGGATTTTCTTTATGAATAGATTGCCATGTTTGACAAACAATTTTTTTAAATCGTAAACATTCTATTATAATAATATCTCCGTTTACATCACGTTTTCGTCGTTTTTTTTTAAGTTTCTTTCATTTCACCATTACATTGTTCTCCAATAGAATTGAACTTTGTATACAATATTAGGTAATAAATGACGATCTTTTAAAAATTGTATACAAGGTTCGTCATAAAAAATAATTTTTCTATATAATTCCCCCAAAGTACTCATTTTATAAAATTATAAATTTACAATTAATGAAAAACACGCAACTACGACGTTCGATTTCGACTATCATTGAGCACATACTAAATTCTAAAAATACTAAAATACAAAACTTTGAAATTCTTAAATATATATAATATCGATACCGTCAATACGGATAACGGTAGATAGCATACGACACGTGTGCCAATTGACGTATCACACTGTTGTGGGGTCGTACATTTAACAGAGATGGGCAACTGGCGGGCCGCATCTGGCCCGTGCTACGTTTGCAAATCACTTTGTTACATTTTAGCGATCATCAGTATCTAATTTTTTATGTTGATCGTATAATGTGGATATTATATTTTTCTCTGGCAACTCCAGCTTAATCATCTAAACATAATTTATATCCATATTGGCGTAGCTAACTTTGCTGTAGATATTAAGCACTTGTTTTATTGTATTGGTTCGGTCGTAAAATTAAATTGATTAAAATTAATGATAATTGTGAATTTTAATGACAATTTTAATAATTTTAATTCTATCATTTTTGCTTTCTTTGCTACGGTTCGCTAAATTTAAAAGTTCTAAAACGTAAAAAACGGTCCTCCAGTCACTTCGAACTGCTCATCCGTGGTATATTTTATTATTTTATTTTTAAAACTTTCAGTAAAAACCATTATAGTTACATCAGTGGTATATTACGTTGTGTTGTGCGCGCACGTGTTCATAGGAACATAACGGGCGACCATCGCCGGCGTACCGTTCGAACGCGGACGAGTGTGCGGAGAACCGGGTGACGGCGACCGTGGAGGACGCGGACGCGGTGCGTGGGGACGGTTGCATGTACGCGATCACCACGAAGCGCAGGATCAAGAAGCTGAGGACGGTGGAGGACAAGCGGGCCAAGTACCGCGAGCACTACCGGCGGTTCCAGTCCAAGACGTACACGTGCGAGTTCTGTGACGGCGTGTCATACTCGCGGTTCTGCGACCTGTCCAACCACGACCGGACCGCGCACGACGACATGGCCAAGGAGTTCAGCTGCCCGACGTGCGGCAAGCTGTTCCTAACGGACAGCCGGCTGCAGATCCACCGAAACGCATTCCACGCGGAGAAGGCGTTCAGCTGCGACGTGTGCCACGTGCGATGCAAGTCCAAGCACACGTTGCGCACGCACATGCGCAAGCACAGCGGCGTGTTCGCGTGCCCGTACTGCCAACTGACCACGGCCAGCAACGCGGCGCTGGTGTCGCACGTGCGCGTGCACACCGGAGAGAAGCCGTTCGTGTGCGACATGTGCGGCAACTCGTACGCGTCCAAACTGGGCCTCACGTCCCACAAGCGCACCCACCTGCACGAGGCGCTGTTCAAGTGTAACGTGTGCGGTTACACCGGGTCCAGCCACAGTTCCATCTATATACACCGGCAGACGCACAACTCGGACAAGCCGTTCGTGTGTGACGTGTGCGGCAAGACGTTCAAGATCAAGGTGCGCCTGGTCGACCACCAGAAGATCCATTTCGCCGCCAAGAACTTCGTGTGCGAAGTGTGCAACAAGGCGTTCCTGGCCCGGTACCAGCTGGTGCAGCACTCGCGCACCCACTCGGGCGAGAAGCCGTTCCCTTGCCATCTGTGCGACAAGTCGTTCGCGCGGCGCGACGGCCTTTCCGAGCACATCAGGACGCACACGGGCGAGAAGCGATATACGTGTCCCGAGTGCTTCGCCACGTTCTCGTTCTACAAGACCATGAAGAATCACAAGTGTACCGTCGCGAGTAAGCAGCAGCAAGACGACCGCTTACCGGCCACACCGCCAATCAAAGGGCCGTCTACCTCTCAGCCAACTTCAACGGCCGATAGCGCTCCATCGGTGACCGCGGACTGTTGTCCGTCGTACACGGCGCTTCCTATCCTACAGGTAGACCACGTGTCCTCCGCTTATCCCGCCGGCAGGCAACCCAGTTAAATTCCTGACGTTTTATCTGCACAGATTACCTATCGTATTATAACCATACCTTACAGGGTGTTCGATAAGCGTGTGCCCGACTCCCGTTATCGCGTCAATCACCCAACCGACCGTCGGTTACAATTTCGTCTCAATAAATATTTCCATTTTCACAATTTTACCAGGGCCTGATTCAGGCATTTTGAGGCATTCTAAAAAAAAAAGTTCATAAAAATCTGAATCCTCCTTACACGGAGGCCATAGGAATTTGTTTATCCTGCTTAATGGTAAATATGACCCTGAATTTTACTGTATAGAGATATTTCTCCTTGAGAACCTATCCTTGTTTAAAGATATTATTTTATAATACTAAATATGCACTAAAATAATATATTAAACGATTACATATAATTTGTAAATAATTTTTAGTCACGCGTACATGAAAGATTAATTTGCAATGCGATGGAAAGTGACAATTTTCCGCCCAGAGGACGGAATAGATTTCTTCTTGGCCCACCATTGTGTTATTCATTACCTTTTTCGCATTTTCGCAGTAATAAAAAAGTATGACGAAAAAAATTACCTTTGTGTAATTCGTGTGTGAAAAAAATATCAGCCTTGAACGAAATACAGCTCTTGCCTGCAGCAGAAATTTCTCGTTTCCAGCCTTTGCCACACAAGGTAATATTTTATCAGAGAAGTGACTTATAGGCTTTTATAACATACCAATAGATTTTCTGGTCCGTGTCTATTTACAGTTTTTTAGTTATAGTATTCGTTTAAATAGCATTCATATAATACACACCCACACTTATCGAACTCCTATTTACATATCTTCAGAAGAACTAGGACCCATACCAATGGCCACAAATGGTGACTCATTGTTTTTTTTGATGGTTTTAAAATTATTTAATCTTCGCATGGTTAATCATCAATCATCATATTAAATATTTTATGACGGTGAAAAACCATTGGTTAATTTTTTAACATTATAACAATAATATAACGAATCCCAACAATTTAAGTGTCCATATCCATATCCATATTTCATCATAAACTCACGTGAGGTAAAATCATTTCTAGTGTGTAGGTACAGAAGTTGTTTTCGAAGCACATAATTTCCGCGTGTGATATTCTGATTTCCTATCTTGTTCTATAACAGTAATATTACTTTACACGACAGAAACGTCACTTAAGGAATCTTAATTTATCTGAACTACTTACCTCAAAGTGTTTTGCAAACTTTCCATTTGTCTTCCAATTTCTTATTATTTGTATCTATTAATACTATACATATTTAAGTTAAAAAAATATTATTACCATTCACCTAATATGCCATTTTATATTTCTCGAATCACTTGAGATAAATTCAAAAAATGGAACATTGTTTGAAATAAAACATTATTATTTAATTATTAAAAGATTATATGAGAACATAAAAACTGATATCCTAAATCCATCGACTACGGTACACTACCTCTTTTAATCACCTTTAAATATAATAGTCTTCCTTTTTCATGAGAAGCACATCTTTTAATGTCGCTCTTAACAATTTGTTTGATTTCCGATAATGTTTTTTCTACATGAATGTTTTCTGCATGTCGAAACTTAGAGATTTATAATTTATTTAATTATTTTTAATTATTTATTAGATTTTTGTACATTCAATTATATTTATATATGAATAAAATTGAAATGAATAATAAGTATTTATATTTTTCTACCATACCTAGTCTATTTTACTACTTTTTTATAACTGTTACGTACAATTAACATTTTGAATCAAAATTCCATGTTATTATGGATCAATCAAAATTCAATATTACAAAAAGTAAACTTATTATTGAATAACAGACTATATAATGGCTTTAAATACTTTCAGTTTCATGAATAATGATTGTATCTTTGACAAATATCCATTTGAATGTGTCATTGGTATACATCCACTTACCGTATAATCCATTAAAATCAATTACAGACAGGCGTGCGCAAATTTCTATTTCCGGTGTGGCCCTTTTTTTTTTTTTATCACCCACCCCCTTATAAAACTTCGCCTTGATAAAATAAATATACAAAACATAAGTAAGTAGAAATAAAATTTATTAAAAAAATTGATGTATAATCTGTTTATCATTGAACGCCAGTCCAGGAAATTTTTATTTTTTTGTAATTTGATAAAATTGATAAAAAAATTTCGATTTTCCAAAAAAAGAGTTTTTAGCCCTTTTTACCTAAGTACCTAGTACCTACCTAAAAAAAGACTCAGGTGTGGCTAAAGCTTTATAAGGCCACACCTGTACGTACGCCTATGATCACAAATTTAACATTTTTCCAACATCATGCAAAACAAATGTTGAGATATTCATTAACAATATGTGCACTATTTAGATCCCTATAATTCTAACAATGGGTCATGGTTAATAGATTTACAACAATGTGAGAAAAATTTGATCACTCTAAATACTCAACCCAAATAAAAATGTATCAGTCGATCACGATTGTAATCCCATATTTTTTATTATTCGAGGTGTAATACATTCAATTTGAGTAATAATATTGGGATACCACTAAGGAGTACAGCCAAAATATCACTGTTATCATTTTTTGAACTATAAGACAAAGTTGAATTTCCATTTCATTTGAAATATGAGTTGTTAATAAATAGTTTATTATATAAATATTTCATGATTGGTATATATAATATTTACAACTTAATAGAGTAAAACCTCGATAAGACGGAATCGCTTGGGATCATGACATTTTTCTGTGTTAACAGGGTTCCCGTCTTACCGAAGTTCCATCTTATTGAGGTTTTACTGTATTATAATATTCGATAAAAAAAAAATAAAAAAAAAAACCATTGCAATTAGTATTTATAAATCTATTAAGTATACAATATGAAATCTGTAAGCTCACTAGTTCCAATGTATTGCTTGATTAATAATATCACAACATTGAGAAATTGGGTTAAATGTAAGGCAATAATTAATGTAAGTCAATTAAAATATTTTCAACCCTATCGGAAGACTTAAAAAATATTCTAGTGATTAATTTTAAGAATATAAAATAAAATTTAAATAACAAATACAACAAAATCATAATAATAACAAATTATGTTATTCGATCCTTAACAATTATTATGAGAAATTATCATAAATTAAATTCCTACTATATTTTGAGATTTAAGTGCACTTTTTTAATACAAAACTACTGTACTAAATCACAAAGATGATCTAGTAGATTAAAATAATTACTAACTCTTTCAAAGGTGAATAATTTAAAAAATTATTTTTGTTCAATAATGCTTACATTATAGGAAATAAGTAAAACCCACTACAATGGGCAAAATTATTAAATTTTAAAACAATTGTAGATTATTATTTAAATAAATAAATAAATAAATAAATAGTAGCAGTTATAAATTTTTCACTAAATCAAATAAATTACTCATCTTGGTTAAAATATTTTAGTTCATAATTATAGCCTTTTTTAAACTAAAATGTTTAAATAAATTATTATTAAAATGATAAATAAAATATCAGGGTATTGATTTTAAATTTATAAAGTATACTTTTACTTGTTATTAAGTATACTACTTAAGTATTAAACTGATGTATGGTATCATTGTTTTTAGAAATATGAAATGACACAATAATTGTGACATTTCATCAATTTTATAAAATTGATTTATCAATTTTCAATAATATTTTTATCTATTTCATTCACTGTTTCATCAACTTGTGTTAAATCCTTAACAGATTCAACATTTTGTAATATGTTCGATTCACTTAAAATAACGGCTGACCCAATTTTCTCTTTTGTATTATTTAAGGCATCATCAGATTTCCCTGCAGCCGATTCCATTTTGTAATTATTAATTAACAACTGCTTTCTGTTGTTTCGATCAATGATTTTCTCAACATTACTATTGTTTACTGAATATTCATCAATCATAGTCTTGATTTTAGCATTTCTGAGTGAGTACTCATCAATTATTGTCTCCAACTTGATGTTGCCTTCAGCATAATCACCAATAACTGATTGAATATCAACATTGTTTTGAGAGTATTCACCCATTAATGACAAAATGTCCGAGTTTCTTTTTGAATACTCCTTTACTATGGCGTTCAGTACTCCATTTTTAATCGAATATGAACCTATCATTGAATCGAGATCGGTAGTTTGTTTAGAATATTCATCGATAGCATTGTTCAAGTCATTATTTTTCTTACTATCCCGCGCTAGGTTTTCATCAATTCCATTATTTTTTATTGAAAAATTTTTGATGGCTGATTCAATATCTGAATTTTTCTGGGCACATATATTCATTGTGTTTTCCATATCGTCATTTCTTTTTGAACATTTATTAATTTCATCTTCCAAATCATTATTTTTTAGAGAATACTCATTAATAGTAGTTTCTAAATCTGTATTCTTCTGTGTATAGTCACTCAATACTTTCTCAAAATCTGTACTTTTTTGTGAATCATCATCAGTTGATTCATGTGCATTAATAGTAGTTGCACCTTTATTCAAACCAGTAGTATTCTTGGTTTTTGCAAATATATCACTTTCAGGAAGCTTTTTTATTGGTTGGAGTTTATCATCAATGTTCTCATCATCAATAGTTTGACTGTCAACTTGTGATTTTTCAGTTATTTCATTCAAATTTTTCTCAATATTGTGATTTGTTGTTGGTTCTTTATCATTTTTGAGATAAACATTTTGTATTTTTTCCTCCAATTTTGATTTTATAGTATCTTCAGGTTTAACATTTTCAGTTTCCATAGCTTTCAATTTTGCTCTCTCAGCCAACATCTATAAAAATAAAAAAATGCATCATTAAACCATTAATTAAAAAAAATTAATAAATTGTTTTACTTTTTGCTGATGTAAGAGCATACGTCGTCTCATATTCGTGCACAATCTACTGGTCTTAACTACTTCTTTAACATCTTGTCTCTGCTCATATCGTTCACTCCAAGTTTTATCCTCATTATTTTCTTCAGTTTTCGCAGCAATTATTTCATCTTTGATTGCTTCTTCAATTTGTGTATTACAATCATTTTTATTTGAACCAAGTAAAGCACGTATAGCCTTTGCTTTCATTTCTAATTCTAAAATCTCCAATAATGTTTTGCCTTCTTTTTCTTCAGGTTTCTCTTTTTCAGGTTCAGATTCTGTTTCAACTTTTTTCTTTTTAGAAAATTTAATTTTCTTTTCTTTGCGAGATCTCTTATGAGAGATTTCATCTTTATTTTCTGATTCTAATATTTGTTTTCTATGATTATCAATAGAATCATCAGAATCCGACGAAGAACTCATATCTTTGCCTAAATAAAAAATAAAAACCATATAAATTCATTGCGCGTAAGATTTTTGACAGTTAGGTAAACATAATTAATGCAAACAAATTAATTAATATACCTTCCAATGTGGCTAAGACACGTTTTTTTGACATACACAATAATTGAATTAAACAATCAGCTTTTAATTCTTCAAATGACATATCCTTAAAAAAAATTTAAACTTATAAATATTAATTGCACATATTTTATAGTAAACGTGATAATACCTTAAGCTCAGGTGGTATGAGTCGTGCAAGCCGCTTTCCACGAACAACAGAAAAAAGTTGTTGTATTAACTGTTCAGGATCGTTAGCATAATGACTGAGAGGGTATATTTTTGTAGTTAAGTTCATAGGTTCATCATCGGTGCTAGAATCTTTATCCAACTAGAAAAAAAAAAATGTATTACAAAACAAAAAGTATGTATAAACTAAAATATAAATTCTAACAATTAAAATAATACTTATATCTATAATTCAGACAATTTTGAGTATAATTTGAATACAATACAACCATTAGGCTATTTGTAAAAATTACATACTATAGCATTAATTACAGTACCGTGAATTATATTTCAATAATTATATATGTTTCACAAAATAAAATCAGATAAAAAAATCGAACGAGATGATTGTAATAAGATAGCAAAATATTGTACAAAACTATGATATAGATACTATTCATTAAATTATTGTAATTGACAAGTGTACTACAGAAGCCCAATGGATGATACTTAGCACAATTGCTGCATGAATAAGCAACATAATAATTAGGGCTGCATTTTTAATGCTATAAAAAATTATGAAAATTAACTAATTAATGTTTTTTATTCTTAGAAAATGTAATTTGAAAAGTAAATTTTACAGAAGTGTAGTGAGATCAACTATATGGTATAGCTTTATGGTTTGGAGTGTTGGGTGGTTGACAGGAGAACAGAATACGAGTGTTGCAGAAATAAGAATTCTTAGATGAATGAGTGGATTGATAAGAGAAGATAGAATAAAGGACAAATATGTGAGAGGTAGTATTAGAGTGTAGCGTCAATAGTAGAAAAGATAAGAGAAAATAGATTGAGATGGTTTGGGAATGAGATGAGGAGAGGAAACAAAAGCAGTAAGTGATTATGAAAACTAACGTTGAAGGGAAAAGAGGAAGGCCAAAAAAAAAAACAGTTGGATACGACTGACAATCATTAAAGGGCTGTTGGTGTTTGCGGAGATATAGAAAATCGAAATGAGAGGAGGTTTAAGACAAAGGTGGTTAACCCTTAATAGTTAAAAGAAAGGTGAAGGAGAAGATTTTTAGAATATGAAGTTACATGTTAACTGCATACTATTGTTTAAAAAATATGGTATGACAAATATTGAATATTTGTTAACACTTTCATGTACTATCTCTTCTTAATAATGATAAATTCAACATTTTTAATGTATTAAACTATGGTAAACATAAATACTATATGAAAATTAGCAGATATAGAGAAATGATACCAATCGGTATTTTCAGCATACCAACAATGAATTTGGGGACGATAATTGGTAGTTTGAAATAAATAAGCTACTGTTATTAGAATGCTTTAGGATGTTGCAACGCGGCTAAATATTGTCGAATATACATAGTATCAACAATAAGAATATATCTGGTTTGTTTGTAAGACAATCACAAAAGTTGCCTTAAACATAAACATTTCCATGTATATACTATTAAATATTAAACTCTAGAAAAGCTGGACGTAAGAAACAATATAAGAAGAAAATATAATAACTAGGTACAGCACTACGTTTTGGAAATAACACAGAGAAAAAAAACAAAACAATAATAATTGTTTTTAAAACTCGTCAAAATCTCAGCCCTAATTATCTCGTATCGTTTGCGTGTTGTTATTTACGATGACGAATGGTTTGTTTACGTCGTTTCTGACCGCTCGGAACAGATTGGTCTTCTTCCTTTGGTCGTTCAGATGGAAGTCGATGGTCCTCTTCATCGCCATGACGGCTCCGATACGATCAATCACGTACTGACGTCGAAAAACGGTTTTGCTGACGGGTGACGACCGCGACGGGTAGAGCACCTAAAAGTCGAGACGGAGAGAAAAGAACAAAAAAAGAAAAAAATACCACGGAAGTACTTACACGTGCACGCACACGCCGAAACGCTCGACAGCAGTAGCGTCTACCACGGGGTACCCAAACGGAAGAGGTCGCGAACTTTTTCAAACGAAACAACGACGCCGCCGTCTCGCTGATAATTGATAAAATATTATGATAATGATGTTATTATTGATAGTACTGTTGCGACGGCATAACTGTTATTGTTGTGTATCCGTTGGCTCGTGCCGTTTTCCGTCGAACGCTATCCGCCGACATCCGTTCGTCGCCGCCAGTCCGCCGTACGGGTCCTGCCCGTGTCCGTCTGCGGTGCGCGTCGCGTCAGGGTTCGCGTGCGCGAGTTCACGTTCCAGAAACACCACCGCACGGAAAATAAACAATAATATTATCGTTTAGCGCGTCACGTTTTCGCCTGTTTGCCGTTCTTATCAACATTATCACCATGCGCGCCAATCTCGTTCGAAACGATTGCGCGCGCAGATGGGTCTTCGACCGAGACACGAGTCGTGCGCCAAGCAGGCGCAGCTCCAAGGGGGGCACAGGAGTCATGGCCCCCCCAGGCTTTTCAAAAATTAAAATTATTTATTACATTTTTGTCCTTGTGAACTGTAAAATCCCGATTATTTAATTAGATACCTACCTAACAATTTAATTTTGCCCAAAAAACCATATTACGATATTAATATGAGTATCATAGTATAGGAACGCAGTCGGATTCTGTGTCTCAGTACTTATTTGGGGAAACAACTATTATCAGTTAATACTTAAAATGACTCCCCTCTCTGGTTAGTCTCTGAAGCAGCGCCTGGCGCCGAGTCAACGGGTACGGTTCTAGGACCGGGTGAAACGATGCTGGCGCGCTAAACTGCTGTTTAACGGTTACGCGCGTACTTACTGCACGTTTGCACAACAAGTACAAAATTATGACAACCGTCAAATCGTACATTAATCATTTCCCATTTGTATATTATTACTGTATAGCTAAAGATCAACAAAACTTTACGACGAGATCTAACTTTGTACCGTTGGCACTCCGAAATTATTAAAAAAGAATAAAAAGACACATTCAAAAGTGTACGAAATACTTAATTGATAGAAACTAACGTAGTAATTCGCAGGCGAATAGATTTACATATTCAGTTGGGAACATAACTACTTGAGAATAACACGATAAATAGCAAAATCAAATTGTGTATAACCACCTGTATGCATATATATATAATATTAATTGGCGTACGCAGAGGGGAGAGGGGCTAACGAGCTGAAGTCAACCTATTGCCCATATTTAATATTATTTGTTTTTACATTTATCCACGGCTTATTATCTGTGTGATAACCGTGCTTAAAATTGTTATGATGTACAGTACCGGACTTAGCGGGGGTGCAATATACCGAGGTCTTAGACTCTAAGGCGCCTCTAAAACCAAAATCTAAAATTGAAAATTGTCTGTTTCCTTTTTTTTTTTTTTTTTTTTTATTGCTCTTTCGTGCTCTTTTTTTATAATTATTCATTGTATTTAATTCAATAACTTTTATCAGTGAATTACAATCTATAACTAAATCGAAATTTCTAAACCTTTATTTGAAAGGGATGCATAAAAATGAAAAAAAGAAGCTACTTTTACAAACATTTTTTTAGGGGCCTTTAATTGGTATTTACACTCCGACCTCTTGAGACTTAAATTTAGCACTGATCATGTATTTACCTGATTATTAAAATTTACTACTATAATCCATAGATGTCTATAATTAATACTGAACTGATGTTACCAACAGTCAAAGCAACGTTAGGTTATTTTTTCGGCGATACCAGATAAAATCTTTTCAACATTGAAACGTTTAAAAATGTACTAAATCAATCATAACGTAGGAACGTTTTAATGGAATAGCTTAATTAAATATCAACAATAAAGAAAAATTTACCGAATTTGAAATTTTAAACAATTTTCAAGCAACATTTTCATCAGAGCAATTACAATTATTAAACTGAATAAAATAAAAATCTATTCTATCATCATTATTTATAAAAATAAATTTTATATTAGTTTTTTTTTATATAATTTTTATATTTTATGCTTAATATAAGTAAGGATTAAGAAAGAACTTTCTTTATTTTTCAAATTTAATCTTGTGACAGTTGAGCAATCATTTATTTTCAACCTCTTCCCTGTTGAAAAATTCTGCGTCCGCCACTGTAAATATTTGTATGTATACAAATATTTATAAAAATATTAGAGGTTGCGACATCCGTGTATTTATCAAATGTAAAATAGTCATCTAGACTCGCTGAGCAATAATGGTTCCCACATACTGTTACGATATACGATAAATGTGTTGGCCGATTCTACATGATAATTTATTTTCTGGATCATGCCGCAGCAATATTTGGTATTATTGGAATTTTCCCTATACGCTATTTTACAACACAATGAATCAGTTTAGTTATCTAACTAGTGTATACCTACTAATACATACTATATACCTAAGTTCAGTATATAGTATACCAACTAATTTTTATATGGTTATTTAGTTTAGTTGCATATATATTTCTGTGTTTAACTATAATCAAAACAAAAAATAAAAAATCGTTTTAATAACTAAATATATGTCTGTATTGTTATATACTTGTACATGCACTAAGAGACAAATCCATTTATGCAATATTCTTTTGTTAATATTACTTATATAGTATTAAAGAATTTAGGCTTAGGTTAGACAAATATATAGCTTCTTGTACTGCTCATACAACACTACACACCCCGACGAGTTTAAAAAAGTGGTTAAATCATTTTAACTTCCAAGTCTATCATGTTGTATATTTTTAGATAATTTTATATTATCACCACAACTGCCACAACTGACGAATGGTAAATTTACTTAATAGATAAATTACATCAAAAGAGTTAACAATATAAATTTTAATATAAACTACGGCCAGTGGAAATTTGTGCTTTATCGATTTAATACAATAGTGAATAAATTAGGATAAAATATTAAGGGGAACTTGGTCTCAGACTTAAAAAAATGTCGTATATTTCAGAGTATACACTTTAAACGGCAAGTGTACACGTTATAATTAAAAAATATATTAAAAAAAGCGTCTTTGGTTACAGAGTATAATTTTGTGTTTGCGTTCTCGTCGGGAGCCAAGCAGAATCGGATCCACACAGCACAGTACGTCGTGTCGTTGTCGCCGTCTACATCAACGTCGCCACTGTCATCACTGTCGCCACTTACGACAATCGTTCATACATATCAAGCGTTCATGTCGAAACACTGATTGTATCTGCCGATTATGATGTTATTATTCTCCTGGTTACTGGGCATGTCTACGCAACATGTGATTTTTGGAGGGTCAACGAAACACTGTTCAGGTAACGGTTTCTTGTAGAGCTTCCGAGCTAAAGCAGCCAATACCAGCATCTCCCATAACATGGTAGAGTTGTATATCACTGCGAAAAATATTTCCAAGTTATTAGTACTCCGTTAAAATAACAGTATATAAACTACATAAACGAAGCGCGTTTCGAACGAAAACCATATAACCATATAAATGCAAACATCGATATAAAAATGATATACTTTATGACATAAACCACAATTTCTAACCATACCTGTATAATATGTAGACAGTACTAAGTATGTATAAAATGGGTAGGAAAATTAAAAAAGCTTTAACCCGAGAATTTTGGAGCCAATTCGGAAATACCCCTTATAACAATTCGGGAACCAATTCTGACGTTTCTGAACGAATTCAGATATACCTATCGTATGTTGCATTGTATGTACAACGATCATCGTATGTTAAGGCCAATCCATATTGATTAAATCAGATTAAGGGTTTTTTGTGTCAATAATTAAAATGCACTTCTTTTACAATTCTTAATACTTTATTGAATCACAATTGAATTAAAGTGTTAAATTTTTGAGAAGTAAAATGGACTCTCTTACTAAGTTTTACTGAAATGACTATGTTTTAATTACTGCTTTACTATAAACACTTTAATATTGCTCTATTCCCGTACGATCATTACACTAACAATAGCACAATACTGAGATGCTCTAATATTTTGATAGTAATTATATATTTTATTTTTTACCTATTTATTATTAACCAAATCTTATGGGTTTTACTATTTTGATGATGATTATTATATATTAATTCTGGTAATTTCTGTGGGTTAGGCTTAATTCCTCATCTTACTTTCTATTTTATGTATTATTGAATAATCATCTCAGATTAAATTATAATACATTTTATCATGACCTTATTTGGTTATTATATAACGTTATATCATATTTTTTCATAATAATTGTATATTTTACAGAATTTTTTACACGTATTACTCTCATCTCGGTTATTTAACATGAAGTATGTTATAATCACTACTAGTTGCACTGCACGTGTAGACGCGACAGCACACTATGCAGGCCCGTACTGACCCACCGGGCAACCGGGCAGAGGCACGACGCGCCCATGAAAATTACGATGCATGATGCGCCCATAAAAATTACCGCTACTTTAATATTTTGGAGGGATATCCATTGTTTCTCATTAACAAGTAATAACCCCATGGTTTTCAGTAATACGTCATTGAAAAACTTTTTATTTTTGTGAAGACAAGCGTTAAACCTAAATTATGATTCTTTAATCTGTAATTTATTAGGCCATAGGTAACCTAAAGGATTAAATAACAAAATTTAAGGCGCCCTTAAATATTTTTGTAACCGCCCCAAAAGAGCAGCCAGTACGGGCCTAACGCCTATGCATATGAAACAATAATACGTACGGTTTGCATAGACGGTCGGAGAAATGGGAGGCTTGCAAGGCAACCATTCCGCCCACACCATCGCCCTGAACGCAAGTCCCTGGAATTTGGCCAACACCAACACAAGCTGGAGCACTACGAATTTTCCTTGCATGTTGTGATTTTTGAGGATATCGCCCAGTACTCGCATGGTCATCGAAATCCCCCACATACCACATATGATCGATATCACGATAAACGGTTGCATGTACATGTAGTTGACCTGGTACAAGCTCTAAAAATCAAAATTTTAAAAGAGTAGTATAATCACTACGGGTGGACATAATTGTATGAACTTATGATATAATCATGTGTATAAAACGATCACATGCATGGTGAAAATATTGGACGTGACCGTATTTCACGGTTTCGAAGTATGGTAGGAGGAAATCTCCAAAATGATCCTGATTATTGTTATTATTATAATTACCTCTTCTTCGGCCCACATGACGAGTAACACCATGTATACGAAACCTTGAACAACGGGCAGCTGTAGCACCAACATTCTCAAGTGTCTCAAATGTTTCCTAAACTCAAAAAAAAAACGTGATTTACTGTATGGGTACGGGCCGATTTTTTTATTAACGCCCTATTGTTATCGTCGCATGTAGCAGAACGCCCAGAGCGTGAATACGTAATACAAAGGGCTTGGAGAGTGCATAAGCAATCGTAGTAAGTCGTAAGAGGTTTTAAAATATTAACAGCCAGCAGAAGGTAGTCTAACGTTAAAACCTTAAAGCAAGCCTTCACTGGCAATCCGTATATCGTACTTGGTAAGCGTGAATTTTGGCAGGAAAAAGCAACACGGCCAGCAGCAACAGGGTGGAACTTGCATGTCCAATGACTGCGGTTTCACCGAAGCGATGAGATTTGCTTCGCCGCCGCAGTAGGCCATGAACAGGCAGAACAGCTGGTACATCGAAGCCATGAACATGCCCTGAGTCATGGCTTCGGCGAGCAGATGAGCTCTGGGCACGAGGATGGCGCAATACGTGGCCACGGCAACGACCTGTGCACATAGTTGGACCGACAAACGCGCATTGTTATTACGTGACGTTAAACGCGCGAAATCGTACGCACTACACGTGCGCGTATCACAATGTTATATTGTGTTACGGTTAATTGTGTTGTGCGCCGACGGTCCGCCGCGAAGACAATATACGCGCGATGACCGTGCGAAAACGTACGCGCGACCGCTTACCGGGTATACGCTGAGTATGAACGCCGAATGGGTTTTCACCATTGGCGGCGCGTTTTTGATGATGCACCTCAGAGTGTCCACGTACAGGTAAAGGATCGAGAACACGATCACCGCTCCTACCGTGAATATCGTCACTCCCGTCAAGTTTATAGCTGTAAAAGGAAATAATAATAATAATATCAATTTCAAATACCTTAAGGGTAATGGGCATTTTATACGTATAACATTTGAATACGACGCACGAGTGTGGATAATCGGTGCACGGACGTGAGATCATACAAGTATAATGTGTACATCGTAAAAACATAATACGCATAGGTACCGCTACCTACTATACACAATCATGCTCGTATAATAACCACGCGAATTCTTATGCGACGAGTTCGACCGTTGCTCCAATAGTATTTTATCTGAGAATTTTCATTTTTTTTTTTTTTTTTTTTTTTATATATACATAACGAAATTACGTCTAATCCACGTTATGGGTCGACGATTGATAATGATTATTATCTTAAGATGCGCGGGATCGGATTACACGGGCAAAAAATGGACCGTGAACAAAGAAAAAAAAAACTATCATAATCATATCGTATTCGTAATAAGTTTCCGAGTATGGTGACCCTGATCAGGAAAAACCCGAAAGCATCCCGCAATGATGAGCGTTTTTTCTTTTTTTTTTTTTCTTATAAAAACAATCATGCTCCAATATTTTAATAGTGTAATAATGAACGAGCGCATTCAAAACCACAATAACATTATAATTGGTATTGTTGTTGAAAAAAAAAAAACTTCAAATCTTATACATAGCTTAATAGTAAGATTGAGTCTAATTACTAATACTAATTAGCAACATTGCACGAACGGACTGTTGTTCTTACTTTACGAACGTTGAACGTAGTATATTGTAGAGTATATTTAAAGTATATTGTAATATATTTTAACGCTTCCAATGGATTTATTTTGGAACATTATGTAATATTTTTTTTATTTTTTTTTAAGCAAATTGGTTTTAAAATAGAAGATGTAATCATTTTAATTGAGTAGGCACATAATATACACATATACAGGGGTAGACTAAGGTAATATAAAAGTCTAGAGGGCCTGGGTGGGTATGACCAATTATCTACTCTGCCAGTCTACCCCTGTATATTTATTTATATATAAAATGTATATACCATATTTATGTATATACCAATTAAGAACTCAAATTATTAGATATTGTGATATTGTAGTACATTTAACCTAAATGTTGACCATCGTTCTAATTTGTTTTGAAATTATACGAACATTTTTTATTTACTTTTATTAATATCTCGATAACCCTCGTCCACGCTTACATTATTTAATTAATTTTTTTCGAGCTTATTATGGCGTTGTATTTTTTATAATAATGTTAAACCATGTATTATTTAAATGTATTTAACTTAACGTCATAGTGTAACTTGAATAAAAAAAAACGTGAAAGCATTAGATAAATGATATTGTTTATATTTATATTGTTCTATATGTACCTACTCACATTCAAGATCTGAGAAAAACATATCAGAGACAGAGTAAAAATTGTAAATTTTCTATAATTTTGTCAAATTGATTTAATAATTGGTAAATTTAAATATAAAACTTTAACTCAAAACCTATAACTCATATTTGGCCGAAAAATGGATGTACTGGACGAGTAAAATAAAGTGTGTTATTCATAACCAAACTGACAATTTTAAGAGTTAATTTGATTTGAACGGTTTAGTTTATTTTGGGTAGGTCTAACTCGCCAGCAAAACCGAGTAAAGAATTTCTGATAATTTCTGGGTGTGTACTTTGACTAAAACATTAAATAAGTAAATTACTTCTAGATATGTTTTATTATTGTTTTGAGTCGTAGTATTGCTGCGTATTCGAATATTTCTGGAATATAGTAAAATTATAATATAAATTAGTTTTATACCTACTTCACCAAAATGAAAAAAATAAAAAATAAATTGCATTATACGGGGGGCCGTTTCTAAGAGATATAATTTGATCGATGAAATGTTTACTGTGCTTAACATAAAAATCTACACACACCCACAGTGAACGTACTTCGTAATTTGGATTGTAAAGAGTGCATATATGGTGCTCACGTTTTTTTTTTTTTTTTTTTCGTTTAATAATTCTTTTCTTCTCAAATTTTGAAGATCAGTGCACTGCAGTGCCGTAAATAATGTTAAAACTATTTATAACTCAATTTCCCAGAACCGGTGCCCGTCGGATCAAAATAGTGGCGTAATAGATGGTCGTAAACCAGTCCTCGTATTATTCGATGGTTGCGTAAAAAATATACATGCCTGGACATAAGTTCATAATACGATTTATCGTAATATTATCGTTTTCCGGATGCGTTCGACGTAAAAAAAAAAAAATGGTTCAAGGCAACAAATATCTGCTCTTTAACGGGTATGTATGACGTAATGTATACGCGGTAGTACGGTGTGTACGGAAACGGAGAGAAAAAATGAACGAAAATGAGAGTGGGACTGTAAGAGACAGAGATGTTTGGTGAAAGTGGTCTGTCCACTGGAACACCACCACCGTCACGTTGACCATTCCTCTGCGGCACGCGTGGTGCAGCACACGTGTGTGATATAATAAGTTGGCAATATAATAGCATTAACGGCACGAGTGTATATTTTGTACCTGTTACAGAGTGCCCATAGGCCATGGGTTGGATATACCTACTTACATACTCGGAGGTGACACCTCCGTCCGATTGCGCAATTGGAAATATATTTTAACGTATTACCCATAAACGTGTAACGATAATGTTTGCGTTACCGGTAAGTATCTTAGGCGAATCGTCCAATGGAAAAACTATCAATGGAGACACACAAAGAAAACGACGTTCGGCCGCGGCAACCTTGAAACATGTTCAAAATCCGTGTCCAAACGACCGCGAATCATTTAAGAGTTATAAGAATTTATGCGATTCACAAGATATTTGTACGCGTAAAAAACAAAATAAATAAAAAAGTGGAATCCTACACAATTATTATGTTCACGCGTTAGTTTCGCAACAATTTTCTTTTTTCACCCGCAATTTTCTATTTCTTTTTTTTTTTTATTTCGGCCGAAACAAGGACGGATGTAAGAACCATTCGCAAACAATCACGTTTTAACAGTAATTCATCTGTAATGTTTGAATCTTAAGGAAACGTATACAAATATAACCAATACGAATTCGGCTCAACGACCTGATGAATTAATTTCTGGTTTCTTCAAATTTTAAAATATACTCAATGAAAACTTAATCGTAGTAGAATGTGATTTATGGATTAAGTCGTGATTCGTATAGGAATCGAAAAGTCAGGAATATCCACTGATGATTGATATAGATTACGCATATTTGGAGTTAAAATTATTACAAATATTAATAATTTAAAATTATTTAATGAAAACCGCAGGTGGTACTTTTACATAATTTTGTCTTTTCCTCTACAAGAATGTACGAATATAATTCGTTTTATACATTATATAATATAACTATTTTATATTGAATATGGACATTAATTTACTTATAATAATAATGTAATCGATTTTTTAAATTTTTTTCATTAACATAAATTAATTTCATCAATTAATTTTACCTAAATAAAATATATTCATATAGTTAACAGCATAATGATACATTTTATGTAACTAATTGTTTTTTTCGTATTGGCTGGGTTTTTTGTTATTCAACAAAACGCGTCATCATTCGATCGAGTGTTGAATTTTAAACGATTAGAAATCGTTATAAACGTTACGAAAAATACATAAACATTAAATGATTTACAGCAATATATAACATACATATTTTATACGTATTTTCTAAATGTGTTCATTAAATAATAATTTTATGAAAAAAAATGTTTTTAAGTTTATAAATAATAATCAATTTACAGTGGTCGCCACTTATTATAATCACAGTTAATGTTATCAAACGTTTATTGTTATCGAAAAGTATAAGGGCCAGATGGATGTATACTAATTATGATTTTCGCATTATTCCTTGATAATGCGGATGTTGGATTGTCAATAATTAATATTTTACACAGCTAATTGAGGAAAACGTTATCACAGTGTTGCTGCCATCACTATCGTCTATCGGTTATAGTTTTGACTGAAGTGTTTTTCTGTTCATTAATAACATACTAGAAAAAAATCTCTGCCTACAACTCTTTACGTATATGAGTATTTTTGTAATTCAATAATTTTAATTATTTTATTTTAATTAGTGAAAACAAGAGATAATTTTTCTGAAAGTGGATTTATCATGATTTTTTTTTTTTTAACTTAAAAACGTTTATCTTGTTGAATATTTAAAATTTATTATTAACACAAATTGATTTAGTATATTGTTCCTTTCAACCAGAATCTATAAAAGCGGAAATACATGAAATAGTCAGGATTGCTGATGAACGGATTTGTCTTTATTTTCTTACTACAAATCATAATATTACAGATGTCAAGATGAAGCACGACGCGTAAGGGTGAAATATTATATAATATTCAAGTTATACAATATTGCGTTAGTAACACAAAATTCCGGAAATAGAACTGTCAATCGACTCAAATATTACAGATAGTTGATATCCGATTATAGAAAAAAGATCTAGTATACCACACAAAAAGTGCCTAGTCATGAATGTATCCATGACAGCCTTCTTCTGTGTGAATTGCCGCCATACGTCAAAATACGTGTATACATAACAACCACTCACGTTATCATTAACATTGTTCTCATACTGAATTCGATTCATTCAATCAAGTCAATATACAATATAATGGTAGAAACATTTTAAAATGAAATAAAAATTAGACTAAATTCATTATATTATCCAATCTATTGGCGTGTAGATAATCAGACACTGACACTACAAATTCATCTCCCCAATAGTTATTATTAGTCATCATATTTTATGTCATAGCACGATTTCAAGAGAGATCCTAGTATTAAGTTTGATTCAAACTATTACACATAAATACACAGTAGCATATAAAATAATTTTCTTATAATTGTTGATTAGCGCACTTCCCAGTACCTGTTATGACATTCGTTGCGGTTAATCGCATACCTATTTAATTTATTTAAATACATATATATTTTATATTACATAGATCAGTGGCGTACATACGGGGAGGGTTTCTGGGTTAAACCCCCCCCCAGGCCAAAAAAAAAAGAAAGAAAATTGTTTTATTATTGATGACGTGTAATATATTCGTAGTTTCATTATTACGCTTTGAACTTAAAATATACAACTATACAAATATTATGATAATTAAATAATTATATTGATAGTTGTTTGAAAATGTTTGTTAACTATGCTGTTTTTATATTCCAATAGCTATTAATTTACTGTAAAGTAAACTGTAAATTGGTAAAATAGTTGTATAAAATAGTAACTGTTTATAACAGTTATTTATCTTATTTATCTGTACAAAGAAAAAAAAAAAGATTATGATTATTTTTGTTAAACCCTCCCCAGAGCAAGATCGAATGTACGTCACTGACATAGATCATATCGTATTAGGTTAATGACTAAATTATTAATAGCTCTGTAGGTATTCATGTATGACGATTTTTCCATGCTCATTATTCAAAATATCATATTTACTTTGTTTAAATTCGAGAATTTTTTACATTTGATTCGATTAATATTTTACATTTATTTAGTTTTTATACACACACACACACATATATATGTGTGTGTAATTCAAGTACTACTCAGTATTTGATTGACTGATAATCGTACAGCCAAAACTGTTATGCAGATTAATTCGAAATGTTGAGAGAATTTTACTATGAATAGGTGTATTAAGAAAAGATTTTTGAGAATTGCAGTTTTTGGGCCTCGGGTTGTGCAAATTAATACGATATAAATAAATATACAAGGGTTATAATTACGAGCGTTTTTTTTTTAATTTATATATATATATATATATTTTTTATCAAAATAATGATTGAACTAATTTAAAATAGTAAAATATCTACCAAACGAGGACGAGTATTTTATATAATATAATTTATAACTATCAATATAATCGATTTCAATTTTATTTATAAAGTTCATTACTTTTCCATTCGGTAAAATATTATGGAACTTATAGAAGCAGAATTCTATAAATCTGGTTGTGAATCGCTATTAAAAAAACTTTATGGCTTGAATTCGACCACGTGATTCCCCTTGAAATGAGAACCGACCGTGTCTACCAGTACCCACACGTGTCGCAATGATTGGATTCACGCTAGACACGAGTACGTAACGTATAAAATAACCGTCTCCGATCGGCTAACCCATGTGGTTAAATTTAATTAAGTATACCATACATATTTCTTATATATTATATATTCATGTGTTCTACGTATGTTACACGTGGAATTTGAGTCACGTCACTTGTTACCGAACAGCAGTAACCATGCGCTACCACGAAGCTCATTTAATCTTATAAATCTTGAACGTGTGGTTACTGATCTTAATAGATTTTTTAGATAAACCGATGATATAACACGTCAACAGGTAGCCAATAAATAACAGATTCGTGTCGTGTATTGGGAGGGAGGGAGGGGAGATCACAAACTTTAAAAATTGCTCGTTACGGCAATGCACTGCATTAACCCGACTTGAGAGTGCAATATTGTCACGTGAGCTCGTCACTTACCGGTAAAGTATTCGTCGACGGACGGTATGCCGGTGGACGGATGGCACAGAACCACGGAGACGTTCCTGACCGCGTAATCGATGGCCGCTGCCGCGGTGGTCGGTGGCGTGGACAACAACTTGCTGGACGCGAACTGGTAGTCGACGGACAGCAGACGGCCCGGGGATGCGACAGTGACGTTCGCGGATTCCGCCGCGACTTCCTGGTGCGCCATCGTGGTCAGGTCCGTCAAGTAGTCCACGTCTCCCGTCATGTACACGTCAATCGGGTCCATCGACGTCATCTCGGCCAATAATATCGCCCGGCGTGTGTTGCAGTTACGGCTTGTGCAGGCCCAGCGACTTGCAGCTGCAGCGGATGAGTGCACTCCTCTGCGGCCTGCTATACACGCGGAGATACCTATGTGTGTAACTTAATAATTAATAATCGAAACTGGCGTCAAACTCGATAAGATCATCGTGATACGCGAACACGATTAGAGGACGTCAAACCCGCGTGTGTTGTCTCCGTCGTCGGACAAACAGCAGTACATAGCAAATTTGCGTTCCGTAGTTGAAATGTATTAATGTTTGCTTAATAATGTTGCAATAGACTGACCTACAATAATACTTTAAGGGAACACCGTATTCTCTTTTTTGCGATCTTTTAATTTCTAAGTGAGTCATGAGTTTGTAAATATTACGATTGAAAAAAACTCATAACTCGCTTAGAAATCAAAATATCGGAAAAATATCTACCGACTGAACACAGAAAATATTCTTCGTTTAAAGTATTATAATAGATCAGTTCACTTTAATATTAAGGCTAAAATCACTGCATTGAAACTACTGAATGCAAATTTGTTATGTTGTACTTGTGTCGAACGGAGACAACGCGTGCAGGTGGGTGGCATCCTCTTGAGATATTATAGTTGTACACTAAACGTAAACTCTTGTTGTCTAATGAAAATGAGTATTTACGCTACATATTCAACAGGCTGTTGTTTGGAGCTAAAAATCTTTTGTATAGGCTATAGAAATCAACTTCCCGGTTAAAACACTCTCGTATATATGTACTGAATTATATTGCGAACGAGTAACTAAATTATTAAGTTGTTCCGAACGAAACTATTTCTCTCGAATTTTCACCAACCCTGTTGAATGTGGAACATAATTATGTATAAATCTATGACTCCAACACATTGCAATTAATAATTCAATAATCAAACAGAAATATTTCTTGAGCACTACTAATTTTCAAACAGGTAAGTAATTTCAGTAGGGGGGGGTAGGAGTTATCGCCTCCCCAAATATCGTATTGTAGTAACAACAAATCAAGATATATGTAAAACATTTTATTGTACATTATTTAAGCCACAAATTATTTTGGAGAAGAATAATCACTCCTCCAAAATATTAATCATCCCCTTACAACACTATCTACGATATTTACGATTTATTTGATATTTACGACATTGTATTTTGCTATATTCTAAATTTGGATAACACTATTAACCGTGTAAGCGCAACTGATTTTTTTTTTAAAAAAAAAGAAGTATGTATATAATAAACAAAAATGTATGAATGTATCTAATAAAATATTTAATAATAATTTAATATTGTACGTCGGTATGTTATTATAAAAATATAATAAAATCTAAATTTTCTTTTAAATATTGTTTAAACAAATTTTGTTAATTTATGCTTTTGATATAATGAATTTCGAAGTAACATACTTTTTGCTCGGTCCCTTGAAATATCGCGAGTTGACTGTATTAATAACTAAATTGTAGGTAACACTTTGTTTTTAATAATCCTCTATTATTATTTAATTGCTAGACCTGATGACTGATAATAACAAAAATAATAATAATAATGGGGGATATAAGCATTATTCGAGTGCAGTTCATACATGGTCAAAACCATTATTTATTTATTTATAAATATAAACTATTCATTAATTATACTATGTTGTAAAAAATCATAAAAGTTTACTAAATATAATTACAAAAATAAAAAAAAATAGATTTGTATTAAAAAATATATTATTATATACTTAGAATATGTTATTACAGTAATTTAACTATAGAAAAATTGATGTAAATAATATTTTAAGGTGTATCATTTATAAATCTATCTAGACATCCTGTTCTGATATGATAAAATTAATTCTAATAATTCAAATACACATGTACCTATGATTTAATTGTTATAATTATAATAATTATAACATTTATGATTACGAATAACCTACTTGTGTAAATCAAACAATGATAATGAACATTTTTTAGCTCAGATATTATATTATAATAATTAATGATAAAAACAATACTATAACAACTGCATGAAAACAATCAAATAAGAAGTGACAAAATCGACAAGGATTAATTTAAATTAAAGTGCGTTATTATTCATTGAATAGATGACTGAACTGTATATTGTAAATCTATTAACCCTTTCACACCCGAATTATTTAAACTTAAAAAAAAAAATTTTTCTTGTTATACATGGTGAGAGGCATTCAATTAAGCCATTTACCAAGTTTCTGAAGATTCTGAGCATCTGGACCGTAAATATTACAATGTACATTATAATGTGCGTTTGGCATAAGATTATATAAAATTATATATTATATTAAATATTATAATTTATATTATAGTGTAGTTAGTTTCAAATAAACATAACTTATAAGCATATTATATCGAAACATAATTAACTTTAAATTAAAATATATTTATATGTTGTATAACATTTTTTTTTGTTTTTTTAATAAGGAGATTTGTGTTTACTGTCCTAGTTATTTCATTTCACTGAACTACACAAGTAGATAATACAGGTAAATAATTAAATAATATACAGAAAACCGTAACTCAAGTAAGCATAGAATTCTGGTAATTTATGAGGTCACTACTAATTATTTTTATACTATTAACTTCTAAGATAATAAATTAATATTGTAAAATGTTAAGATTTTTGTGAAAAAAATTACTTTTTACAAGTATACGCTGACCAAAATAGAAATTAAAATCTCAACGTTATAAAATCATTCTATGAATGAAAAAACAATAAAAACAAAACGTAATCATTGGTATTTCAATAAATACTATAAGTAGTATTAACAATAATTAATATCATATACTAGTAATAATCATAAAAGAAAAAGTTTGTTCAGTTACCAAAAATATTATTAAAGCAGTAGATACAATACTAAAAGCATCATTTCAGTTTTTTTCCAGGTGTTTGAAATCTTAGGCAGGCCAATTTTAACATAACAATGCCATTAAAAAAAATTGTATATTATATAAATATATGAAGATTGTTTTTTCAAATAGCAAAGAATTCAATGTATTAAAAGCTTTTAAAGACTGGACAAAAGAAAAATGTATTTTATTGTCATTATTTTTATTATTCCATTTTACAGTTAGTTTTTTTCATATTTTTTTTTTATATTTATGCTTAATATAAGTAAGAACTAAGAAAGAACTTTCTTTATTTTTCAAACTTGATCTTGTGTCAGTTGAGTAACCATTTATTTTCAACCCCCTCTCTATTGAAAAATTCTGCTGAAACTGAAACACTGTATAATTTATATTGTATGAAGCATTTTAACTGCATTTTTAATAATAAATCCCATCTTAAACTATTCCTGATCCTTATAAAACTCGATTAAATAAAAAGAGTTATAGTATTTATAAGTATAAGTTATGTTACAGGTATACAAGAATTCACTTCGTGGTTATAGATACACCACCATTATATTTAATTATTCATCACGAAAGTACTTCATACTTGTCCAATCCGGTTTTCACTTAAATTCTATTACCTCATTCCTAAAAATTATATGTTCAAATATTGAATTATATTTTCACAGTCGAATAAAACGGATAAAAAAATAAAAATTATGCATGATTTTAAATTAGTTAAAATATGTAGTATGGAAATTGATTTAATATCCTTTGGTGATGGTTACGTAAATCAATAAAACGTATTCAGCATTTCTATTCGATAAAGCAAAGTTTTACATAATTATATGAGTGGTTGGCATAAAGTTTGAATTTTTTTTTCGCATGTATGATATGTTTAATGATCAGTAGTTATTATAATTAATATAAAATTAACGTATCACCTGGGTACCATCATATAGTATTGTTACGATAGAGTGAAAATGTCAGACAAACATTAAAATCTACACTATTGTACTCCGTAACGAACGTGAGCTTATAACAATATCTATACACAAAACTGGTGTGTACTTATTATTTTAAAGTAATTAATAACCTACGAATGAATTTCGCAATGAAAACTAGTAGGGTCCAAGGAGTGGTTGGCAAAATTGATTCTTTTATAATAATTTTAAATATTTTAGTTACTCAAACACCTGCTGCTCTATTATAATTTTTGGTTTCACATAAATATCCCCGTTGCAATATTGTTTCTTATATTTTCTAATTTTATGCATAATTCTCATATTAGTGTATATTACACAATTAGTGTATACCTAAATATTACTACTATTTATATTATAAAATATATATTTATTAATTCAATAGTATTGAAGATTAATATTAAAAAATGTGTTCAGAAAATTAACTAAATTAGTTTAAATACATACAATAGTTCTCAATTGAATCTATATACAAAGTAGGTGTCAAATCTTATTATACTTAGAATTATAAATATTCATAAATATTGCTGTAGAAATTGTTTAACTAATAATAATATTAATTAATAATAGTATTTAACGGGAAAAATTGTATAAAAGAAAAATAATTTTTTGAATGCGAATAGGAAGACTAGGTTTAGCTGTACTTATTTTTGCCCTTGATTTGTTTCAATATGCTAATCATCCGGAGAAATGAGTTACACAAAAAATTAACAAAAAATTTCTGAAAAAATAAGTTTAAAAATATTTTTTTAAATTCCAACACTGAATAATTTTGCATTATTGAGGCGGTAATTTTTTTTTATTATTGTGCCGTCTCTATGTTTTTCACGTGTCCTATGTTACGAAATAGTACCACCGTGACTAGTGGTGAAACAACGTGTCGAATTTTCATCACGGATATCACACGTTACTAGAAAAAAACCGTCAACACCAAATACCAATACTTTTCCTTTTTTATATTATTATTATTTTTTTAAAATAAAGATTGTACTTTTTTAATTTCAAGGTTTATATCAAAATTACTAAAAAATTATGACCTTTCGCATAGGAATTTTGACAGATCAATATATCATATAAACCTCCGATCGACTACGTACAAACTTATCGACTTTCAGTGATTACAAAAAAAAAATTATAATAAGTATCCGTTCGTTTTGCGTTACTGTTTTAAATGTATTTTAAAACGTAAACAAACCGCAAACCGACGAAAGTTTAGCGGCGCGTGTCAAAAACCACGTAGGTGCGCGTTCGATGTTTCTCTGTAGATCCACAAAAAAGTAGGTAGATAGGTACCTACGAGCCGCGTGTGGAAACATACAGGAAATATTGCAAAACTGAAAAAACTCGTATATGTGACCATTTGTGCTCGGGAAAACGATCGATATTTATGCGAATATAATATGCAATTTATACAACGCATTAGGCTATACACAAAGTGGCGCCAAACACGTATGGCAAGTGGAGTAAATACACCACAATTTTTTAGGTGGGCGGGTGACTTAATGAGTGCTAGATGTATTATTTTTATTATTGTATGATAACATATTTTATAATAGTACGTAATTATTAGATAGTAAATACTTATAGTTCACAGGTATACAATACTTGCTGTTTAATTATGAATTTTGGTGGGTACTCTTAAGTAGAATTTACCCGAGTAATATAAAAAAGGTTCGGCGCCACTGTATACACATATTACTCTTGAAAATACGTAATATTCTTAATCTATAAACTAATATAATAAGTACACAATACACATACTACAGCGCCGGATTTTTGTACTGTCTTAGGAGGCCAGGGTGCAATTCTTGAGGCCTCTTAAAAAAAAAAAAAAAAAAATACCTGAATATTATATATTTCTTCAATACATGTTAAGATTAAATAATAATAATAAAAATAAGTTAAAAATAAATCAAAGTCCGAAGAACAATTTTATAATTTTGTTCGACATTCGAGTAATTTGTTGAATCATTGAATATTTGATGATAAAATTATTATTATGCCATTATGGAAATCTCGGACCTGTATCTGAGGTCTCTAAGAAATTGCCTCGAGATACCTCGAGGCACCCCCGCCAAATCCGGCACCGAACACATTATAATAATATTTCTACACAATATACGTCATGATTCAATCGTCATTTTTATCGAAATTTTATGTTTTCGAAACTTACCACGTGTGCGTCAGTCGAATGAGCCGTACGATCGTTGAAGTCTATACACCGCGTATGACAGAAATACGAGCACGGTGTGAAAATACTTCAAAGCTGAGGAACCTTAGCACTCGGTAACACTACGGCGGTTCACAGACATGTTGTATGGTCTGGGTGCGTAAAATAGATTTTTGTGTTGATTTCTCAGCCGGAAAAATCTATACTACCGTCGTCGCATTTGTACCGATTTGCCGTGTCTTCGAGCTCTTGGATCGCAGTCAACGCACACAGTCGGTCATCTCGGGGCGAGCACCATGTCACCACTAACTGGCCGCGGCAACGGGCAGCAACGCTCGCGAGTACAGTGTGCTGCGGTGTCGACGGCGTCCTGCCAATCGCCAGCGATTTTTTTCTCCTCTTCGCGAGTAGAAAGCGATAACCGCGGCAGCGGTAGTGGGGTAGTACCGGCATAATTTAATATGCGTATATCCGTGTTACACGAGTAGACGGTTAGACATTTTTTTGTTTTATTTTATTTTATTTTATTTATTAAGACGATTACTGTCCATTATTGTATACATTTTATTCAATAATTATATTATTGTAATATATATTTTACTGCTGTACTAGAGTCGTATTGGTTAGAATCTTACCAACATTGATAACAACAATGTCATTCGACAACATCCTATTACTGTTACACTCGTGAGTACTTAAACAGCTTACATAAATTTATCTATTCCGTAACCTTTCCACTTTAATTTGCTATCGTCCACCAACAGAAAGGGTCGGCAATCTTTTTGTAGAAAAAAGAAAATGATTTAAAAGTTAAAATCACCATGATTTCCAAAGAAGATAATTAGATTGTGCACTAAACTTTTTTTTAATGAATTTTAACATGCGACTTCTACCAAAAAAAGAAAAATAATCTAGATGCAGAAACGTATCCTAAAGAGTCATAGATCATATATACGACATAAAGGAGACATTCGTATAGAATATATAAATAAGAGTTAAGATCAAATTGAAATTTTATCGTGATGTATAATAGCTACTGCAGTTTTTAATGTAGGGTTAATTTATTTTAATAGGAAAGATTATTTAAAATGAGTTCTTAGTAGACATAGATATGTTAAGAAATATACATACTTTGGTTATTATTACCTAAAATGTATTGACATAAAATATTATTTTTAAAATTTTAAAAACAACTTGATTAACTTTATTTCTAAGTTTGTATATTAAATATTTTAATTTAATACGTTAAATTACTAGACAATTTTATGTTCAAATAATTCCTTTTAAAATTAATGTTTTATTTCCAATTTTATGTAAATGAAAAATATTAAATATTTATATCGGTTTTACTACAATGAACGAATTTCAAAGCATATTCTGTAGGTCAATAAAAATAACGTAATGTTGATCAAAAACTACGTAAATAGTGTGAAAATGTTATTATAAAAATATTGTTGTCTTTAATCCATTATAATTAAATTCTTCAAAAATTCATTTTCTGCAATTAAAAATATTATTATTACAGTTAAATAAAAATTAATCCTCTAGGATTTATTATATATATATATTTACTAAATAAATCGCAAAATTAATTTTCTTATAAATATATATATACATACAAATCAATGATGAACATAATTATTAGTAAATAATTATGTTATTTTTAGAATCGAAAGACGACTAATATAAAATAGAGAGTGTTAAATTTACTCGTATGTTACATATAAAATGAAATTACAGTAGCCATCAAAATCCATATATAATCAATACGATATCAATCTTATAAACTATAATGCACGAAAAAAAACAGTTGTGTTTCTGACATTTGTCGAACATTTTATTTTATTAATTATAATTTATATTAAAACTAAAGTGGAGGCTAAATTTATGATTTAAAAGTAACTTTTACTATTGGGAAACACCATATATGTATTTGTTAATACTTTTAGATTCTATGCATTTAAAATGTCAAATGTATATAATATACAGAATCATAGAAAACAAACATTATTAAAATAACAATAAACATATTATTGAAATATTATACCTTTTGGTTGGATAAAATATAATTATAAATTTAATACAAACAATTTCATAATATTATTAAAAATTAACAAACAAAATAAAAACAAAACGCCTGATCTGTCGACAACCACTACCACAACTGTAACGTAACAATTATAACATACAAATATCATTTGTATACATAATATAAGTTATTGTATACCTGCAGACTACAGTTATGCAGATGTAATGTGTTTGGGTATGTATTATAATAAAGTCTTGGCACTTTCATTGCTTTTTAACAACGCGCACGCCATCTTTTCTCCATTAGTACATCAATTACGATTAGTATTCAATGTGTATATTTTTGGTGTACGATAGTATCTATTATAATGTTGTATAGTAAGTTAGCGTTACAATGCTGTATTTAAAATCAAATATTATACGTTTGCAATATCACATATGTTATATTTTTAATTTTGTGTACTTGATCAGCAAAAGTATGATCGATTTCCACATAATCCAACGAATTTTTCATCAATTTTGGCAATAGGCTAAAAATACCAGTTATATTTTTAACCCATTATTTAAGTTAACAATATATTTTAATTTTTAAAATTTATTATTTAACAATATCTATTTTCTAATTTAGTTTAAATGTATTTTATAGTAGTTTTCTCTCGACAAGAAAATATTTTCAAAAAATTATAATGTACTACAAATATATACAGAGAGATTTGATGGTTCAGTGTAATTGTTGTGATATTTTAAATATTTTAGTATTTTTTTTTAGTTTTTTATATTAGTATTTTTTCATGCAATAGAGAAATAAAGCAATGAGTGGTGTATTCCCACAGCAAATTTCTGTATTTGCAGAAAAAACAAACATGCAAAACCCTACTAAAAGAAAAAAAACAGACATATGTAACCATAGACACTGAAAAATGTAAACAATTGAAGTATAGTCGAACTACAATTATTATATGACACGAAATATAAATCTTTTTTACTTGTATATAATCAATCATATTTTCTAGTTTCTAATATAATTTTATGGAAATAAAATCCAAAATTTAAACTACATTTATGTAGGTAATTCAAAATCCTTTATTTAAACAATTAATATATAATATATAATATATCTATATATAAATAATTATTTAAAAAAAAAAAAAACATTTCATCTATATTTTTTGTTATTAATCATAAAGAACACTAATATTTGTCATATTTATAAATGTTTTTTTTTTTTTTAAATTCCTATGCGATTTAAAATTTTATATTAAAATTATACAATCCACTATTAATGCCAAGTGTAGTTTAGTAACAAAGAATAATATACGTATTGTACTATACATAAAAAATACACCAATGTGTGTATGGGATAAAATACATAGTAATAATAATAATTACTTTATACAATTTAATCAATCTTTATTCTATTAACTTTACCCAATACCAGAAAAACAAAAATTGTCTTCAAAATTATTCATTTAATTTCATTCCGATGACACTAATTGCTTTGGGAGTATTTGAGATTGAAATGCAACGATTAGATTAAAAATGACAGCAAATAAAAACTAAAAAAAAAAAATTTGGATAGTATTAATTTAAATTTAAGGTCATAAATATAATATTTATAGATTATTTTATATTTATATTCCACAGGGACATTTTGGAATGAAGAAAAATATAACTACAATACATTTCCGATCATGTTTATACAATAGTTAAAAACTTTTAAATATTTATTAATAATAAATTATAAAATAAAAAGTTATTATAAAATATCTTTGATTGAACATTTTACTATGAATGTATCATTCATGTATACTTACGTTAAGAAAAAGTTCTCTGTTAACGTTACAATAACCTCCAAAAGTAATATTCGTTCTACAAAGTTGAATTATTTCTAAGAAATCTTGAACCTGAAATAAAAAAATGTACATTATACGCATTACTAATGGGTCTGTTATGTTTGTCCGACACTCGAATGCCCGGCACTTAAATTGCCCGACACCATTTTCCCAACAATATTTTATTAATATTCCATTATTTTTAAAATAATTTTATCTAAACTAGTCTGGGCGAAACGAGAATCTTATAATAACAAAATTTGGGTGAAACAGGATACGCCCATATTTCCTATACACAGCATCAATGGCGTACCCAAAGGAGGGGGGGGGGCTCCAGACCCTCCCCATTGGAGTTTTTACATAATCAAATATTTAATAGTAAATAGTATAATTATAGTATATAGCGCATTTTAATTTCCCATTACCTTCAATACACTAAGTTTATAGATTATATAATAAACCTATAATGTATAAACCATACTATAGTAAATTAACAGTAATTTGTTGGTAATGAGTTAAACTATAATTATAATTAGAGAACAGATCAAACAAAAATGTTAGACCCTCCCAGGACCCCCCCACTATAAAAAATTCCTGGGTACGCTCCTGCACAGCATTTTTCCTAAAATACGCCATAGAGGGAGGAGCGGTGAATGATTTAATTTATACCTGGTGCCAACATCTTAAATGTGGCCCTGATTATGAGACAGTGGTGATGTAATGTTGAGCAAATGTTATTTTTTAATAGTTGAAAATATAAGACCAATTTAAAATTTAGGACAATGATAGTAGTATAGAGATATTACCAGTGACGTATTTGGAGGGGGCTAGAGGGGATGATCGCCCGGGGTGGCATTTTTTTAGGAACAAAATAAGATTTTTATATAGCCCATTTTATGTTTATGAACAATAATATAAATTGGTTATTTTTTTTTTTATCTAAGATAATTTTCTATAATTGGAAATATTCATGGAAGGGGGGAACAAAAATTGTCGACGAAAAACCTCTCCTTTAAAACGTAAATAAGGGGAGCGGAAAAACGTTAGCACCTGGGCGCCAAATTTCTGAATACGTCTCTGGATATTATTATTATATATATAATGTAGTATTTAAAAATGAAATGTCATGCAAATAACAAATCCCCCTTCAATAATATCGCAACGGTTTTATATTTATGTTTTTATGTACTTGAATTATTAGACTCAGTGGAGGATTAACCACTAAGCTCGTGAGGCTCGAGCCTAGAATGACAACTTATAGGGGACAACAAATTTTTTATGTCATGTTATTTAAATTCTCAAAAAAAAAAAAAAAATTATTAATGATTTCAAATGGGGTACTCATCATTTTTGGTATCTGAAAATATGAAATTTAATAATTTAAATCTCTGGCGGGAGACTATTCTTGAAACGTCGATTTGCTTGTTTCTAGTTATAAGATGCATTAATACGTAATACGTCAATACGCGTACCAAATGTCATTAATTATTAATTATATCAAACAATCAATCACGGAAGAATATAAATTTGATATTAAGTGGTCCATAACTAAATCACTTTTACTGGGCGAAACACGAAAGAATGAAACAAAACTGCAAAACGGAAAAGATAACTTACTTATAAATGTATATTAAAATGTATATTACCCAACACTCGATTTCATTCACGTTGAACTGAAGAAGAGGCAATTGGCTTATACCGAAGTGGGGGAAAGATTCGATTTTTTACTATATTTGAAAAATTTTGAAGCGGACATGATTTTGAAGAAAACGAAACATTTACAGATGTTATATAAAAATTATTTGAATAACAATTTTCTAACTTAAGTAATGCACTACAAATACAAATATAATATCTTAGAATTTTTCTTTCCATTCCAGTATCTAACTTCGCCTATGAAAGGTCATTTTTCGCGCTAAAAAGAATAAAAATGTATTTATGAGTCAATTTACTGAAAAAAAAAACTCAACGCTTTGTCTATACTGTGTATTGAGAACCACATCACATAGAAACTAAACTTTGACCACTTGATAAATGATTTTTCCCAATTAAAAGCTCGAAAAGAACTGCATTAAATCATTCATACTATTTATTTATAAATTATTACTTGTAAGATTATATGTAATACAATATTTGAATTCAATTAATAATAATACCTTTGAACCATTTCTTACTCCCGGGACGGCTATACCCAATTACCCATCACTCTTCGATTTAAGCCCATTAAAATTACAATCTTTGGATAGTATTAGAAAAAGGGAGCGGTAAACAGTTGAAGTAAACAGAACGTGTTTCAGGGCGTCGAAAAGGTTAATCTGCCACTGATTAGACTAAAATGTGTAGTTCACAAATACTGTATAGTGCAGCGGTTCCCAAACTGTGCACCGTGGTCTACGGTTCATAACAAATAGTTTAAAATGTTTTGATTATTTTTTCCTTATTGTTTTCATAAAAATTTTATAGCAAATAATGAAATATTTTCTATTGTATATTCGGACATTCTTATTTTAACCTTATAATATTTTTATGTAATAATTATAATAATGATAAAAATAATTTTTATTTATTTAATTTTTAACTTTAAAAATTCATTAATTTATAATTAAGTTAAATTTTAATAAAATTAATAAAATTAGTTATCAATGAGTATTTTTTTTTGTCCTGTCTTTCATGTTACTTACAGCAGGGCACCGTGGCTAAATTGAGTCCAAAAAAAGGCACCGCGGAAAAAAAGTTTGGGAACCGCTGGTATAGTGCATAGTTTATAACGTTATAGTGAAATTATTTTTTTTTTTTAAATCAAAATATTATTTCAGGAATAACTTGATTCGTTCACATATGAAAGTTTTTTAAATAATAATAATTATTAGTAAATAATTAAATAACAACTTAAGGGGATTGCCAACGGTCGGTTATTTTAACTAAAACATACCAATCTTTTGACAACTGTAACAATCGACCTATTCATGCGATAACAATTTTGAAAACTGATTTGAATTTGGCTTTATGTCTACTTCAGATCGATCAGTCCGCATTTCCCAATTTCATTCCCTAATTATTACAAATTTGATTTGAATATTTTCAAATTTTCAAATTTTTAAACGTTGATTATTCAGATTTTACTAACAAATCTTAAAATGTGGACTGATCGACTCAAAAAGACATTATAACAAATTCAGATCAGCTTTCAGAATTATTATCGCATAATTAGATTGGACGGTAGTGTTGACAAAAAGTACATACGTATGGTAAAATAAAACATTACGTGCTGTTCGTTCACGCGCGCGACGCAGTTATGGTGACTTGCTCGTACGCGTGCAAAAGCTATTCTTATCGCATGTTGCGGACTCATTCAACGAATTCCATGAATTCGTGGTTCCGCGATAGATCAATTATAAAACATAGATATAATCTGTGATGAAACTATAGAACTATACACTATAAGATATAGTGATATATCGTATATGCAACAATGCTTTTATGGTATTTTTATAGAATCTTGATTGTTATAGTGTTTTTGATATTTTTCCTTCTTTTGGAAAAGTATTTAATTCACGAACGACAACCCAAGTGGAGTAATAATTCTTATAACTAATATTACTACAATTAAAATTGGGTACTTTATATTTTTTATTTCTTGATAAAATGAAAAGTAAAAAAATAAGATTATCTAGGATAAAAAACACAGAGGAAACATTTCATCAATTGAAAATTGGCAAATAAATCGTATCAAAAAGACGGTAAGTGGTATATTAGCAACTTTAATTTTTGTTTTTTACTAGCATTATTTAGATTATGAATTTAAAAAAAATGTATGAACTTTTAAATATTAAATATAAACAAAATCATTATTATGATTCTAATTTATTTATTTTATATTGTTATTTTGAAGAAAAACAGAGAAAATCTAACGTCTGTACTACATAAACGTCAAAATAACGACGACGAGGTACAACAATGTAATGAATTGTACGTAAATATATTTTTATTTTATTTTTCATTTTACAAACATTTTCAAAATAAAAAATATTCGCACCTTTTGAGCTATTGATACAATTTTTATTTAAAAATTAATTTAATTAATTTAAAAAAAAATTCACTATAGACGTCGACTTATCAGTAAACAGTTAACTAATACCAAGCAATTATATTGTGATGAAGTATAAGTTGATATAAAGTAAAAGTATTGCATTGTGTAAAATTATGTGTAAAATTGTGTAGTCTTAAAATACGAAAAAAGATAATTTATGGACCGGACGCCGATTATGGAGCAGTAAATAATCATGAATTAGATGACCAGATATTAACTATGTCCCGTGAAGATTTCGAAGAGAAAAAATTAGAATTTTTAACAAATTTGAAATTAAATAAGTTTGAAATTGACGCATTACAACACCGAACAGTTGAACAAGCGAGTTGCAAAGAATGGGTAAAAGAAAGATCCAAAATGTTAACTGCGTCCAATTTCGGGAAGATTTGTAAATTACGAAAAACAACTTCTCGAAAAAATAGTCTAATTTCAATTTTATACCAATCGCATTATTTTCATGGGACTACTGCTACAAGGTAATTTTTAATTAGTAATGTATTATGTAGCCTCTGTGTGAAAAACTAACATTATTATACTTTTTTACAAATAATAAATATTTTATGGTTAGGACTCTATAAGAAAATTCCATCGAATGCCAAATTTACAATTTTGAATTCACCTTATTATTAGTTTACTTAAATTATTAAATAAAAAAATTAATTATATATTGAAAAATATTAATATATTATAATGTCGAGTGTTTAAAGTATTATGTACAACGACTAATTTTGACCGTTCGTCATCATCAGATTATAAAAGCACAATTAACATTATATTGATCGTTTAAACTAGGTATGGGATACAATTTGAGTCTATTGCTAAAGATGAATTTGAGAAAAAATTCGGATATGAAGTAGCTCCAGCAGGATTGTTTGTTGACCCTCATCTTCCATTTTTAGCAGCAACGCCAGATAGTCTTATTGGGGATGATTCAATTATAGAAATTAAATGCCTATGCTATAAAAGATTTAACTCATCTTGATGCATACAAAGAGAAAAAGTTGAACTTTATGTATGTACAATCGGGTAACTTATTTTTAAAAAAAACTCATTCTTATTACTACTAGACACAAGGACAGATGCATATAACAGACCGAAAATATTGCTACTTTGTTGTATGGACACCAAAAGGTATACATTTTACTGAACGTACTATTTATTATTATTTCATTATTGTAATTTTTTTTTAAATTATTTTTATAAGGAATGTAGTGGGCCGTTCTGCAAGAGGACGACGTAATACACCGTTAACGAATAAATACTTGAACGGTTCACGTCTGTGATGTAGAGTCGTTGGAAGGTGTTCAAATGACAAAACACGATGGTTTAAAGTTATACAGATATGTATAATAATGAATAAAATAAAATATATATAATGTGTGGTTAATACAAATAAGATAGTAATTTATAATTGAAAGTTTGAGGACAGAGTAATTAAGCTCTGCCCGAGAATAATAAAGATTGACTCTCAGAGCTTACGGCGATGTGAGGCGCGCGGGCTTCACGACCAGATGAGCGTCGGTGCAGTAAGCGGAGTAATTAGTTAACACTAGTTTAATTCATTCTACTATTCTAAATGTATGGGTAAATGGATACCGTATTTATAGGCAGCCATTTAGGATAAGAGTAAGGTCGATGGGGATCTGCCGGATGTGAACAAGGAAGCTTGTTTCTGTGATATTGAATATAGGCTCTGTTCCATGGAAACTGCATATCAATACGAGTAAGTATTGATATTGGTTTCTGTTTCGGTTTTGCCACATTAGTATCAATACATGATATAATGTTAGCGGATGTTAGCGGATGTTAGCTACCCGGTGGTTTACCACAGGAATTTGTGTGGATAAAATTGAACGCGATGATGATTTCTGGCGTATTAGAATGGAGCTGATTTTATCAGAATTCTATATTGAATACATGGTGCCAGAAATAGTAAATCCTCGATATTTAAAAAATAAATATAAACCATATGCAACGTACCAATGATTTGTTTATTTTAAAGTTATTAATTTTCGAAAAGAAGAAAATGTATTTAGTAGATATAATAGTCGGGTAGTCATACAACTATGAAATTATAATCAATTGTAGGTACAACGAAATCATGTGGGTCAACGCGATTACAGAATACAGATAAACATTATTGTTTTATAATTATTTTATTTATAAACAATATTGCGATAACAATGCAACTAGGGTCTATAATAGAAAGGTAGGTGGTTGTACAACTTCATTAAAACTAATAATCATTTACTATGCATACACATGTAAGGCATGCACGCACGCACTAAAATAATTGCCTATACTGAACCCCTTAAAAACCGACCGTTAGCAATCCCCTTAAGCAATTATTCGGAATTACATTATAAAAATAATTTAAATGTGTGTGTATTGCCTAATATAGTATTAAAAGTAAGATCTCATAGAATTTCTAAATACATACCGTATTGAAATAATCAATAATTGTAATTGTAATATAAGCGTCAAAGCTATGATTCACGGAAATGACTAATAAATTTAAATTTTCAAATATTTTATTTGTAGTATAGACCAATGGTTTTATAATAACATATCACTTTTTTAATATTTTTAATTATTTTTTTCAAGTAAAAAAATATATTAATTTTAAGCCTGTGTGCTTAGAATGATTATATTATATTATATATTCAGTAAAATTATAAAAACTGATTATCAATGACAATTAGTGTTGATTTTTATGTCTATGTAATATGATGGATGCATATTGTGTATAATCAAAGTGGTATTTACGACAGAGCACTGTGGCTAAATTTAGTCCAAAAAAGAACACCACCGCGGGGCACAGCCACAAAAAATTTGGGAAACACTGATATAGGCAGTACTATATAGGCTTACTTCTCTTTGCGTTTGTTCCACAACACCACACACAATCAAATTCAAAATTTTCCACCGTAATTTTGGTCCTATCTAAAAAGTTTTTGTCATGAACTTCAAATTAATTTAAATTAAACAAATGGTAATGGTATCTTATAAATAGAATGATTTTACCTCAGATAAAGCTGTGTAAGCAGATTCGCTGTAAATCATAAGAATAGAACTGGAAAATGTAGCCGGCAATAATATGGGCGAAACCTTGTAACTTTCCGGACTTATTAGTATCATGAACACAACAAACAAAGTGATTGTACTGGATATGTACATAACGATTGCTGTAGAACAAAACATACCACCGTGCACAATACCAAAGTCTGTTATCATATGTGACATATAACACCAAAGTTCTGCGTGTTCTCTAAACTTAATAGCTGATTTTTTGGTTACAATTAATTCCTATATTTTTTAAAACATATTCAATTAGCAGACTACAATCACAATATTAAACTAAATATAAATGTATCCAAATAAATTTATATTTTCTCATTTTTTATAATGAATACTTTTTTTATTCAACCAAATATTACAAAAAGGTTCTAACCATTAAACGTTGGTTTATGTCTTTGCTGATGTTTCGAAATATATGGCAATTGATATGAAAATATCCAACGGATAAATTTATGATAGCAAATATAGTTATGAACAAAATAGAATTAGCTACTTTCCACACTTTAATTAAGGTCACAGAAATTCCTATATTAGACGTTATAAGAACAATTGGTAATATTGTTACGATCCATGATCGTTTGGTTACATTCAAGTGTAGAGGTTTCCGCATACACGATTCAAATTTATCCTGAAAACTTCATTATAATTAGTGATATAAAAATAAGCTATTAATAAATGAATCATGCTCTAACTGATACTGTAACAACATTTTAATGCACTTGTAGATTTATTCAACATTTAAAATTTACTGTATCATTTTTAAAATACAAACCTCAAAAATATTCCATCGATTCCAATAATTCGGTATATTTTTCATATCCATCCAAAAAAAGGGAATAGTAAAGACGACTAGTGTCATTGCCGATCCTGCGATTCTAGATGTAAAATTGAAAATATCTAAGTCAGATGATTCAGAATAATATCTGTAATCTCCATATAATTTGTTAAATAATAAACAAATCAGGCAAACAAAAATTGAAAAGCTATACAGCATGATCCAAGAGAATAATTTAAATTTGGGTCCTGTAAAAAATAATATTAAATACAAATACAATTTTATAATATTATTATAGTTGATTAATTATTAAATTAATAAATAAAGATATTATTATCTACTTAAATTATAAAATTAATACTCAATATTATTAGTATAAATTATAATAAATATAAGGTTGATTTTTGAATTTTATAAATTAAAACAAAAATAAATGGTTTTGTGGTAAATATTTTTAAAATTTGGTTATTATTTTAATTATTTTATGATACAACTCATTTTACTATCAAACTTGCTAATTACCTATTTACGTAAGATCTCTGTAACATTCTGTTAAATTCTAAAAAAATGCATATATTTTATTCCAAAATGTAAATACTTTATTTTAATATTACTTATTGCAGTTTATCATACATTTCTAAAATTAACTTTTTATGAGTTATACAACTATATTATTATTTTTTTTTTTAATATACTATTATTATATTATTAATTACATCAAATACCATTTTTAGGAATAACTAAAATTGTTACCGTTTTCATCTTCAGTGAGTGGCATTACTCCAAATAATTTCAATGCTATAATGTTCAGTTTAAGTTGTTTAAAATATGTTGATTTTTGGTTTTTTATTCGAACCGTATTTTTTCTATCGTAAGCATTATTTTTATAGACGAATATTTGTTTTGAAAACATTTTCTTTTTAATCAAACTGTATTGACAATTTCTCACTTCAGAATACGGAGATTCGTAAATATTCAAGTAGATTGAAGTTAGAATGAACGTAAAATAATTATTTTCTATGGTATATTTAGATTAGTAATGTCAATTAGAAATAGTAGAATGCACTGTGGGTAGTATCTATGACTATCGATCATTAATGATCAATTCGATTGTATATTGAATAATTACGTAAATAATGACATAAATATATGTATAGGCACAAATAGTTTTAAGGTACATGCATAACATTAAAATTGATTTCAAATAAATTATTTTGAAAAAAAAACAATTATAATATCACTATAATTATATGGGATTGTTGAAGTTTTATTGTGTTGATTTTAATTTGAGATACGGTCATTTTATCATAACTATTTTTTTGTGCTCAATTATTTCCAATTCTTTTTTTGAAGATATTTCACATAAAAATGTCTGCCACCCCATTTAATTCAAGCAAAAATATATCTACGCTATTAAATATGTGGTAATATATATCCAGTAGTAATGAAAATAGTGCAATAGTATATTTATATAATTCAAATTACATACATTACTAGCAAATATAACAACAGTATATAGATTATACGATATAATATACCCACGTTTTATAATTTTTAAATGTTGTTTGACACTTAGCGACTTAAGTGACTACATATGGATTTCCATACACGCGCTTTTTAATCATAAGTAATAACTATTATTTTTACTTTGATAATGATTTTGAATGGTATTTTATAATTCACTGTCTTATTTGTTTTAATATTCATAATAATTTCAAATTACTATAAATCATTGAATATAAAATGTTTTTTGTAAAAGTGAAATTAGATTAATAAAAAATACTAAGTCAAGATTTAGCGATACTTCGAAATATAACGTTTTTAAAAGTCGCTCTAAAGATGTGCTACATATAACTTATGAGTTATTTTCTTATTTTTTTTTTTCATTATTATAACATAACATAAGTCTACCATACAAAAATTAAAAATTACCATTTAAAAATACTCGAAAGATTATAATATTATTTATATATACTTAATAACAGCAAATTTACAGCACAGTATTAAAGTATATTAAACTAATGCTTCTCAATCTTTTTATAACACAAAAACCCAGAAATCTCTTCAAAAATCAATCAAAACCATTAGGTAAATAAAACCGTGATCTACAACCATGTGCACATGGTTATAAAGAATAAAAAAATATAATAATATAAATAATACGAGTGTACGGCGGATATCGTATAATTTAAGATTTACAATAATATTTGTTCTTTGTTCCCACATTTTGAGTAGCCCTATATTAAATAGTATAAGGTAACGAATGTTATTCATACATAATATGATGTGTACATAATGTGTAACATTTAAATTATTGAATTATTGAGAATGGGTGTAAAAACTAATAATTTATTAACATCAACACAACTGCCGGGACTATTTACCTTACCTAAATATACAATTTTGGTATGTACTATATTTCTATAAAGGGTTATTGCATAATGCGTAGGTAGCTAAATGTTTTACAATAATATTCAAAGGTTTCTCAAAATCGGTATGAAACACCAAATTATATCAATCGAATGAGCCAAATACAATGAAATATATTTTATTAAAGAAAATTAAATTAAACAATTGTGTAAATTCACTTTTATAAATATAGGTATTTGGTATTTTAGTTTAATATATAAAAATACAAACTTCTAAAAAGCAAGTAACTTTTTCTTTTTCAAATCGCAATACATAATTATTAAATATCTTTTGTTTAATTTATGATAATTTGTAAAACTTTAAAACAATTAAAATTGTAATTAAAATGAATGATAATAAATAAATTGATTTTTTTTTTTTATTTTTATGTCTACTTTTTTTTTTTTTTTTTATTTAATAAATATTTACAATCTGTATACAGAATATTATAATACAATAAGTAAATT